ACTCCTCAACTCTAGGTTTGACTCATGGTCTAAGTGGGCTTCCTCTTGGAATTGGGGTAGAATAGATATTAGGGAGTTAAACACATTACTATGCATGCTTTGACATATGGTTCATAAAGTTTCTAAATTAGTGTGATATCTGCCATGTTTTAGGTTTCAATTTATGAAATTTGAAAGTCTATTTCCTTCTTATTAGAATTTTTACCAAAACGTTTAAACCATAAATCATAAGTCTGTAAAACTATTCTAAGTGCTGGGGACACGACAAAGTCCCTGCTTTCATGGAGTTTAGTTATTTTATGCATTTATTTTGGGTGGGAGGGGATGGAATTGGACAGTACACATGCAAACAAATAGATGAATGAACAATGAGTAATAAGTGAACAAGATGATAGGAAATGGCGAAAGAGCTAAAAAGAAGATAGAACAGGTTATATGATACTGGCTGACGGGAAGAAAGCTGCTTTAGCTAGGTTGGTAAGTGAAGACCTCCTTAAGGAGGTGATGTTTGTGCTGAGACCTGAGTGACAAAAGGACCAAGCCATGCTGAAATGTCAGGGAAGACCATCCCAGGCAGAGGATATCCAGGAAAGCCTGAGGACTGATAAGACTGACAAGGAGAGGGTCACTTTGACTTCTTTGTCCAAGAAAGCACAAATTACTTATATGGGTGTACCTCCTGAGAAATAAGGATTTTGGTGGGCTTTTATAGTCCTTTATGTTTTCGCTATGAAAACAGAACTTTATGTTAAAGAAATCAAGCATCGACAGAAATTATACAGATATATATATCTCTCTCTCTATGTATGTATATATATATGTGTATATATATGTGGATATATATATATACATATATATACACACACACACACACATAATTTCTAGCTAGATTCAGAGGAATACAGATTCTTAGCATAATGACTGGAACACAGCAAGTTTCCATCAATATCAAACAAAGAGAAAAGGGTGAAATGCATGCCCAAGTTCATACTCCTGATTCCTGGTACTCTTTAGAAAGAAATTTTATTTTTGAATTGGCTGTACATTTATAAATTTCAAAGTTCAAGAAGTATAAAAATCTCTCCCCTTGAGTTCCTGTCTACCCCCAAGAAGGGAGGGATATTATCAGTTTTTCTTTAAACTCCATCTTGTGGAATGCTTTTTTTCCTCTGGGGCAGAAGAGAAAGTTGGGAATAAACAGCCAGTGACTTTTAATAAACTGGGCCAGTAAGGCCCAGTCTTCAGAACTTTCTGGATTGCTCTTTCCCCAACCTGAAGAAGGGAAATGTTTTCCCCTTCCATCAGGCATGAAGCTTCACTTTCTTGATCCAAGGGTAGATGCGGGAAAGTGGATGCAATGACCTTTTCCTTTTTCTTTTACAGCTTGCTTCAGACTCAATCTGCTTAGACTGATCAAAAGCACTTTCTGCCACAATCCGGGTTTACCAGCATATCAACATCTCTTTAAATAGAATGCAAATTCAAAAGCCAATACTAAAAATATTAAAATGGTTTATCCACCCTCTGCTTTAGCCTATTTATAATTTCAGCAGACATATCAACCCATGATGCATTTTTGCTACCTTCTATATAAAGTAGAACCATCTTTTGTTAGCATGTGTGTGGATGATTCCACTGAGCTGAATTCTGCCTAATGCTTCTCTCCTGAATTACAGATTGCTTATTGGGAAGTATTTGATGGGTCAGTAATCAGAGAGCTGGAAGGTTCCTTGTCTGGGTCAATTAATGGTATGGATATCACAGTGGAAGGAGTGTACTTTGTCACAGGTGAGTTCTGGAATAAGAAAAAAAAAAAAAAAAGCCAAGCCCGACTTATTTAGATAGGAACATGGAATTCCCAGGCAGGAGGCAACTGAAAGTGACAAAAAAAAGGGTCTAAAGGGCAACACGGTTTGATTCAGTCCTGAGCACTGCAGTCAGTGTGGCTGGAAGAGTAAAATCCAGAAGCTGTATTTCAATGAGAGGAAATGTTTGCCCAGGAGCCTTTGTGGCACAAATTAAAGCTAAGCCTTACATTGCTGGCTTTTTTTTTCTATGAAAGGCACTGATGATACAAATGGGCCTTAAAGGGCTCAGGCGGTTCAGTGTGCCTTGCTTTGTTATTTCTTGCCGAAGTCTAAAATGCCAGGCTTTTATTAAGTCAGCATTTCCAGGAGTCACGTACCACACAACATGCCTATAGAAACAATATCAATAACATTTCTTGTCAGGCTATTTGACTCTTAGGATATTAGCAAATAAATGTCCCCAATGAACTAAAGTTTCACAAAAACATTTATTGAAAACAAGACATAAAACCAGATATGATGCGATCCCAGTCACATACACAGATATATGTTTATACCTGTACACTTATAGAAAAAAAGACTGGAAGGAACTAAACCAAGATGTTACTAGTGGTTATTTTTGGGTCATAGGATCAAGGGTGATATCACCTCTTTTATCCCCCCCCCCAAATTTACTACAACATAGACTTTTATAATCAAGAAAAAGAGTTATTATAAAGACATACTTTTCTTTCTTTAAGTTGGCACATGGGAAATATGTTGAAAATGATCCAGTTATTTGAAATTAGAGCTATTTAATTCTATTACAGTGATGCTATATAAATGTTTTTTTTTTTCAGGTGGAAATGATCATCTGGTCAAAGTTTGGGATTATAATGAGGGTGAAGTGACTCACGTTGGGGTTGGACACAGTGGCAACATCACGCGCATTCGGATAAGTCCAGGAAATCAGTACATCATTAGCGTAAGTGCCGACGGAGCCATTTTGAGGTGGAAATACCCATTTGCCTCATGAAGCGACGGAGACCTCCTGATTCACACAGTTCTATTGAAGGCTGAGTTTAGATAACTTTGAGATTGGTTTTGATTTCTCACATCTGTGTTTTTGTTCAAAATATTTTCATCAAATAAGGAGAAAAAGATTTTCCTTTCCTTTATAGAATGCATTCTATGTTCTTAAATTACATATTAAAATTGAAATATGTTCAAGAGTAGTTTGTCCAAGCTGTAAATTAAAAGTTTATTATGAATAGATTCACATTTGTTGGTTTCCTGTCATAATTTCTTTTCTACGACTCTGCAAAACCCATAGCCCTTCCTCATGGTGTGTCCACAGACAGCTTTGCTGATATCCTCTAAAAATAAGGAAGGCGAGCTTACCTTCTTAATCAGCATCTCTTCTTAATCAGCATCTCATTGGTCAAGCTGTAGGGGGCAAAACTTTGGTTTGAATCCAGATAATGGATGGGTTTTTTTTGTTTTTTTTTAAACTCTCCCAGCCACTGTTTTCTTTTTTGTAAAGCAAGAATAAAGGTTATTTGCTTTTAAACTATGATCAAAGAGTTATTGTGAGAATTAAGTGAAATAATGTATTAAGGCATCTGCAGAATTCCTGACAGAGTAGAGTTAAACATGAATCATAGTGCTTTTGCCAAAGAAAATATGTGTTGTTGAGGATCTTGGGGTAATTATCAAGGATGAAATTTCATAAATGCTTTTTTGGAGTTGGCCATAAAATATTTTTCCTGTGCTTACTATCAGAAGAACCAGGGAATGGGTCTTGTGTCGTAATTGTCCAACCAGATATTCATTTCCAGAGAAGTTAAATAATGACACTTTCCAGAAACAGTCCCCAAGGAAAAGTATGGTCTTTTGTTCTAAGCATATCCTTTATTCTTAACTAACGCTTTTTTTTTTTTTTTTTTTTTTTGGCATCTGGTGACTTGCTGCTGCCTTATTTGATATATCAAGGTGGATATTTAATAAACGATGATCACTTAGCAAATAACATTTCAGAGCACTGATGTAATAATGCATACTGCTGATCTTTTTCCGAGCTAGAAATTGATGAGAAATTCATTTTGCAAGATTTCACCTGATTAATTATAAACCTAACAGCTACAGGATAAAGTGGGCAGAGGCCGGTAGAGTTACCCAGGTAATCAAGGGCCAAGCAAGGCCAAGCCAATTCTGATTGGGCAACAATTCATCAAGGATTTTGCGTTTAGGAGAGAGCGGGTGACCGCGTAGGGGGTGCGTCTTAGATCCAGAAAACTTCCTGGTAAGTAAATACTATACACTACAGAGGTTAGAACGAGCCAAACTGTGGGGTTGGCAGTCCACAGACCCAGGTCGAGTTCCAGTTTCTTTGCTTACTGGCCTTGCGGCCTCTGTATATTGCGTTAACCTCTCTGATTCCGTTTCTCCACCAGTTAAAGCGAAGATGATTAAGCCTTTTAAGACTTTTGGAAAATGACTCTAACCTAGTCGGCAGTTTTAAAAAACAAACCATAACCATTTTGGTTATTTCACGCAAAGTAACACGCGGCTTCGAGTTCCGGTCCTAGGATGGCGGGTCGCGGCAAAGTCTCTGTTTCCCCTGAGGGGCAAAAAGGCTGGAAGGAGTGATTCTGCGGAAGAATCACCTGTACACAAAAGCGCCCCCCACCTCTTCACAGCTCGCAGTGCGCGTCTCTCACCACTCAAGAGGCTGCCCTTTGGAGCGTCTTCCTTTCCCCTTCTTCATATTCACCTGGTCGTAATTACAAGAAACTGAGAAATAGCCAGGACTTTGCAATTTACTAGGCGCTTTCAAATTTATCATTCCTCTATTATTTCCCCGGCTTGAAAGCCTGCAGGGAAAAGGAGCAGAGGTTAAATTCAGGCCTGTTGGTTTACAAGAGGTAAGATAGGGAGGGGAACGTGAACTCTACGACTCCCAGGGTTTTATTCCCAGTCCGTGCCGCGGGTGCGGGGGTGGGTGGCCCAGCGCTGCCCTGGGGCGGAACCTGCGGCCGGATTCCCGCGCGGGGCGGGGTGGCCCCGCCCTTGGCTCCGCCTCCGCCCGGCCCGACACACCTGGCCCGCAGGTAGCCTGAGCCGGGTTGCCTGTCCAGGGCTGTAAGGGCCTGTTAGCGGCCAGTCCGCTCCCGGCCTTGGGGCTCCACTCTTGGAGGTGCGCCGACGGGAGCTATGGAGCCGGGCTCAGAGGCCGCGGCAGGAGAGGGGCGGCCCGCGCCCCGGCCCCGTCGCCGCCGCTCCCTGCGCCGCCTGCTCAGCCGCTTCCTGCTGGCACTGGGCAGCCGCTCCCGCCCCGAGGACTCGCCGCCTCGGCCCCAGCCGGGACACTGCGATGGCGACGGTGAAGGGGGCTTTGCCTGCGCGCCGGCCCCAGCTCCAGACGCTCCAGGGAGCCCCGGGGAGGAGCGCCAGCCGGGACCCCAGTCCCAGCTCTCCGCCAGCGACGGGGCGCGGCCCCCGGGCACGCAGGGCTTGAAAAACCACGGCAACACCTGTTTCATGAACGCCGTGGTGCAGTGTCTCAGCAACACCGACCTGCTGGCTGAGTTCCTGGCGCTGGGGCGCTACCGGGCGGCGCCCGGCCGTGCCGAGGTCACCGAGCAGCTGGCGGCGCTAGTGCGCGCGCTGTGGACACGCGAATACACGCCCCAACTTTCCGCGGAGTTCAAGGTAGGCAGCGGCGCCTTGCCGCCTACCGCTTTCGCCCCTTGGCGGCAGCCTTGCTCTGGCCCTTCTGGTTTCGCTTCTTGGGAAGTGGGTGCTCTATAAGGAAAGGGTTTTCCTGGAGCCTTCTTTAGATGGCATTCACCAGTTCTCCTTCAGTTGACCGCCCTTATTTTTGAGTTGATTTGTTGTGCTATCATTCGCATACGTTTTCTTTATGAAGTAATTCCTCACAGATATTTTGAGGGGTTGGGTAGAGGGAGCTGACAGATTTGAGGAATGTGTTTAGCATTTTTGCTTTCAGCAAACATTTGTGAAAGTATTGTAGGTCTGTGGGCCAGGCAGTGTTTTAACGCCAGGGATAGTTACAGGGCTCCTGGGTGGGGCGTCGGACTTTGAAGGCCAAGGCCAAGGAGGAAGGAGGTGATTCTTTAGTTGAGATCTGAATGATGAGGACTCAGCCAGGCCAAGATCTAGGAATAATCCAGGTAGAGAGAGTATAGGCACAGGCCTGAAGGAGGTGAGAATTGTAGGCACCGAAGGAAAATAGAGTGGCTGGAGCCCAGCCAGAGTGGGGTTTAGGTAGGTTGACCAGATCATGTACGGGCTTGGAGGCAATGGTAAGGAGTTTGGATTTTATTCTAAGCCCAATGGAAGCTCAGAACCTGTGTGCCAGGTACTATGCTGAATCCCCAGTAGAGACAGTGGGCGTGCTTTATCGGAGATGACATCCTTTGTTTAGTGCAAATTAAATCCCCTAGGATGCGTTAGCACGGGATTGCATCCATTGTCCCCAGGATCATGGTCTACTTGGGATGCTGCAGGGTCATGAGGCTTTGGAAGTTATGTGTATCATTTCACCCAGTGTTAAAGCTGGGCGTTTGTTTGGAGTCCCAGTTGGATTTAAGAGTTCCTGATAATTGATGCACATGGCTTGCTTCCTACTTAAAAAACCACAGCTCTGGGCAGAGAGCTGAAGCTCCCCATAGACTAGTGATTGTTGTTCTTGGGGGAGGAGGGAACCTGTCAGTGTTCATTCCACAAGCATCATCGCTCTTGAGTTTCAGCCTGAGAAAGCAGTCCTTGCCCAAATGACCCAAGTGGATGCCAAGCCCCACCTTCCTCTCTACTGCTTCCACTAGTGAAATACTGTGCTGCAGGAATCAGTGAGTTAAATGGACATCATTATCTCTTTTTGGTAACATTTGTTTTTTAAATGTGAGAGGCAGTATTGTATAGCGGGTCAGAGCAAGGTCTCTGGAGCTTTGTGAACTTGAGCAAGTTTCCAAATCTAGCCATTCCTCAGCTTTCCTCATCTGTAAAGCGGAACTGTAATGGTACCTACCTTATATAGTATAGCCTTATGAAGAATAAATGAGTTATATGTACACATTTAAAACAGTGCCTAGCTCCAAGGAACTTTTCATTATTCTATTATTACACCTCTTCATCTGCAGATACCTAGGAGGAGGGAAAAAAGTAATCTTTATGTACTTTTCTCATGCTAGATACATTTTCATCCAGTTACTGCAGGGATGGGAGAGGCAGGAGTAGCTTGAAAAAATTCTTCCAAATTACTAATTATCCTCAGTGACTCACCAGGACTTCCTATCTGTCTCCTGCTCCAAAACCCCTAAGGCCTGGAAGCTCCCCATGAGCCTTGGGGAATGGAAGGATAATCAAGTTGTTAATATGTTAATGAGGGTGACATAATCAGGGGTTTCCCGGAACTTTCTGGGTAGCCAGACTTGGAGAGAGTGGAGAATTCAGAATCCCGGGTTTTAAACCTTGCTGATTTAAATCTAGGTGAGCTCCTCTTATTTTACAGATGAAGAAATATTCATTTATCCAACAAGTATTTCTTGAATGTTCAGACACTATAACGGGCACATGGAATACATGAGTGATGAGTGTGAAACCTAATTTTGGAGCTGCTCTCCAGGAACTTATGGTCCAGCGAGAGAGCTGGATGGTAATGAAATAATCACACAGGCACATATTTAGAGCTGGCGACAAATGCCAGAAAATAAAAATACAAAGAGTTGTTGTAATTCTGGCAGGAGAATGTGATTTGATTGGGAGAGGTGGAGTGAGGAGAGGCAGGAAGGCTTCCCAGGAGAGGATGTAGGTAGGAGTGTGGGAAAGTGTATTCCAGTGCCAATCACTGATGGGGTTGGGGCTGAGGAGCTAGGCAGAATAAATGAATGGTTAAATGAATTAATGAAAGCCTATGTGACTCAGTGGGAGCTAGGGAGAAGAAGCTGGAGAATTCGTAGGGGACAAGCCACAGAAGTTTTTGGAAAGGTGTTTGGTCTTCAGGAGTGATTTTTAGCTTTAGACAGAGGAAGGGAGGAAATTGAGAAGGACCAGCATGCTAGAGTGAGTTATCTGACTCCAGACATGCACACAGAGTGGGTTTGCAGTGCACCCCCTTCCTGAGCCCTGAGTCACCCAGCCTCCTGGAGACACCAGGACCACTCTTTGTTTCAACAGCAAATGAATAAATACATTTAAAATATTCTGTTCATGGTATTATCTACAGTACTTGGTTTTCCTAATGATGTAATTAAATATGTGTATACTATAAAAATTGAAAATGTGAAAGTGAAAATGTGAAAAAAGATCTGGAATGCCACTAGAGATAACCATCTCTAGAGATAATCATCATAAACATTGATGTGTTTCAAAGAATACACAAACAATTGGAAATTCTCATTTTAGACCCTGCCTTTTTAAAAACTATTATAAGACTTTCTCCTGGTCATTAAAATATTCTACAGAATTTAATTTTTAATGATCGTGTAATATTTTATTAAATGAACCAATCCCTATGGAGACATTTATGCACTGTACTATTTTTGTTATCACACTGCTTTGAAAATTTTTATATTTAAATCATTTTCCTCAGCTCTGTTTGGTTCCATAAGCTTAATTCCTTAAAGTGAAATTACATGGTTAAAGCAAAGATGACCATTTTGTTATTTTTATGTTCTTTTGGTTTTTAAATCAACTGTGTTGAGGTATAAATTATGTATAATGAAATGCACCCATTTACAAAAATTGAGTTATATTTGACATAGAACATGGTGTAAGTTTAAGATGTACAGCAGCCCCCTTGTTATCTGTGAGGAATATGTTCCAAACCCCCAGAGGATGCCTGAAACTGCAGGTGGTACTAAACCCTATATATATTATATTTTTTCCTTTATACACATACCTATGGTAAAGTTTAGTTTGCAAATTAGGCACAGTAAGAGCTTAGCAACAATAATAATAAAATAGAACATTTTAACAATATATTATAATAAAAGTTATGTGAAAGTGGCCTCTCTAAAAATATCTTATTGTACTGTACTCACTCTTCTTGTCCTAATGACAGGAGGTGATAAAATGCTTATGCAATGAGGTGAAGTGAGGTAAGTGACACAGGTATTGTGACACAGCCTTAGGCTACTATAAGTGTGAGGAACACAAGAACTGAGATACGAGACAGTAGATTTGATAATGGAGACAGCTACTAAATGACTAATGGGTGGGGATCATATACTGCATGGATTCACTGGACAAAGGGATGGTTCACCTCCTGGGTGGCATGGAGTGGGACAGTGCAAGATTTCATTATGCTACTCAGAATGGAGTGCAATTTAAAACTTACGAATTGTTTATTTTGGGAATTTTCCATTTAATATTTTTGGACTTCGGTTGACCTCATGTAACTGAAAGTATGCAAAGCAAAACTGAGAATAAGGGGGCTTACTGTTCATCATATTGCTTTGATATATTTATATTGCAATGTGATTGCCAGTAGCGTTAGCTAACACCTCTCTCATGTCACATAATTATCATTTCTTCTAGTGTTAGAGGCAATTAAAACCTAGTCTCAAGTTTAATGTCTATAATACAGTTTTGTTATCTATAATCACTGTACTGTGTGTTAGGTCTCTGGGTCTTATTTATTGAGTTGCAAGGTTGTACCCTTAAACAATACCCCTCCTACGTCCCCACCCCTCACCCCTTGTTAACCACTATTTTACTCTCTGCTTGTATGATTTCAGTTATTTCTTTGACTAGGAATGAGATATAGGATTTTTCCACATTTCTTACTAGTTGTAAGACTGCACTTGTAATTGTCTGTTTATGTCATTTATTTATTCTGCCTTGGTTTTAATGTCATTTTACTTGTTTCTATAAGTTTCTCAACCCTTGTCGTATTTTCTGCAAATATTTTCTCCAAACTCTCTCCTTCTCCCTATCCCGATACTGGAAGTTTTATATTTATATCATCCCTTTGATAAATATTGTATTTTATGAGTTTCTAGTTTTCCTATGGTTATATTAAGGATTTCAGCCATCTGGAATTTATCTTAGCTTATGTGCCTGGGGATCGATTTGAGATCTCTGATTTTAGACATAGATTATGCCTCAAGTGATATACTAGAGGTGCACTACTTTTTTAAAAACAAGGATGCCATCATCATTCTTATGTTTTGGAAGTTCTTGACAAAACAGTACGTAAGACATGAAATGGAAATGGAGTAAAAAATATTGAACAGAAAGAAAATTACCAAATGGCTCTAGAAAGCTTTATTTTAGAATTACCATGGTCACTAATGAGGTCAGATGCAAGATAGAGAGTTAAAATAAGTAACCATTTATACCATTATAAATATTAGATTTCATTCATAAAAACAATCAGAAATATGAAACAACTAGGAATAATTTAAATAATAAATACGTTAAAAATTATTCATGTTTGAGAGGACAGACATGCACACAGATAGAGCTACGCCATGGTGTAGGGTAGAAATACCAGATATTTCCATTCTTCCCTCCCAAGTTAGCATTTAGCTTTAATGCAATTCTAGTCACATTTCAATGGACTTTCTATGGGAATGTCCTTTGTAGGAATCAGTAGGTCGCATTATTTAAAAAATTCTGGAAAATACCAGATAGATACTGTTGTAATTGGAAAGAGACCAATAAAGAACAGTGTTCACTGTAAAAAAATTTGCAAAGTACAAATGAGAATTAAAAAACCACCTATGGTCCCATCCTTCTATGATGACCATTTGTTAATATTTTGCCTTATATTTTCTGGTCTTTTATCTTTCTACAAATATATATAAAACAATCTCAGATAGTTTTTCACTTTTTTTTTTAAAATGAAAAGATAATTTATTTTCTCTCTCATTAGTGTTTCCTCAGCATAATTTTTAAGGCCATCTTATATGAATGTGCCACACGCTTTCCCCAAATAACTTTGATACTTGGAGATAACTTTGTATCTCTCATTCCTTAGTCTAAATTCTCTAAGGTGGAATTACAGTTGACCTTTGAACAACACTGGGATTAGGAGTGCTGACACTTATCCTGTGCAGTCAAAAATCCAAGTATAACTTTTGACTCCCACAAAACTTAACTACTGTTGACTGGAAGCCTTACTGATGATAACAAATTGTCGATTAACATATTTTTGCATGTTACATGCATTATATACTATATTCTTACAATAAAGTAAGCTAATGAAAAAATGTTAAGACAATCACAAGAAAATACATTTACAGTTTTTATTGAGGAAAAAAAAGCATGCATAAGTGGACCCATGCAGTTCAAACTCGTGTTGTTCAAGGGCCAACTGTGCTGTGTTTATATAGGGGAACATTTTTAAGACCCTATCTTGTCTGTCTTCTTGAAGTTGTTAAATTCCTTCTGGAAAGGTTGTATGTATGGCTTTATAGCCAGGCTAACATGAAGAGAGAGTCAGTTTTAAAGGATTTGCTTGATTAGCAGTAAGGAAATGGATTTCACACGGAAAGAAGTAAAAATATAAAGGTATGGATTTTTGAAGTGGGAAAATACACCTGAGTGGCTGGAGCTTTGAAACCCATGAGAGAGTGGTGAGAGACACGGATGGGACCAGTCCAGAGAAGTTTGGACTATTAGGTGGTAAGAGAGTCAGGAAGGGTTTGGAGTAGGGGCATGGCATTATCTTGTGGGGCTGTAGGAAAATGGGTCTTTTCTGCCCTGCAGGTAGCGGGCCAGCAGGAAGAGATCTTGGGGAATAGGCTCCTTTGTAAATAGATATTATCATCTGAGAAGCAATAGTTGGGACTTAACAGTGGGGATGGGACTCTACTGCAGGGGCGGGGCAGAAACCATTTGGAAGCCAGAATCCAGAATGCTTGACCATGCACTTATGTGAGTGTGAGAGAGAATCTGGAAGGGGACATCGACATTAAGAGGAAGAGCTGATCATAGAGATTTGAATTTGGAGGGACTAGCTGCTCCCTAAGAAAGAATGTTGGTACTAAGGATACAGGTCTGAGGATGGCTGGGGGGTAAGGTGGCCAGGTAAAATGTATGATGCCCAGTGAAATTTGAATTTCGGATAAACAACCTTTTAGTATCCTAAATACTGATACTGTATGGGACAAACTTATACTACAAACGTTATTCATTTTATTTGCTAAATCTGGCAGCCTTACAAAGTGCAGAGAAGCCTGGAGGAACTAGACCTTCCAGAGAGCCAGACTTTTGCTTCATCTTGAATTTTGCTTCATCTCCTCCTATAGTTTTCTTTAAATTCCAAGGGAATATTAAAAGAAAGAAAAAGAATAAATCCCAGGCCATTGGATTTGATTGGCAGTGGTAACAATTGTCTGCATCCACAGTCTTGCTCAGACTGCTCCCTTTGGTGGGCGTGAGTGAAAAACAGACCTGGGTGCAAGGAGGCCTAATGCCTGGCTCTGCAGTCTCGGGTGGGACAACCAACCATATCTACTGTGCGCACACACACAGACAAGGGGATTCGCTTACACTCAGACGCTCATGCTTGCACATGCATTAAAAAAAAAAAAATCCCTGGAAAGGTGATTAGAAAGTGCTAAGCGTGGCCTCCCCTTGTGAAGGGGTACACAGGAATGGGGTCAAGTAGAAAGAAGACTTTTCATTACTGCCCTTTTTTATATTTTGAATTCTTTTTTTAAAGTATGTGCATATATTACCCTTTGAAATAAACTTTTAAAAAAGCTGGAATATGCATTTACACAGAAAATGGTAAAGTTGTTAGACAATTTAATAGGACAGTGCAAAAGGCACAGGGAGTATAAGTGTCCCGAGGGCAGGGATCATGTATGCCTTGTTCACTGTTGTGTCCCCATCCAGAGAATAATACCTGGCACGTGATAAGCACCCAACTGATATTTATTAAAGGAACGAAGGTTGAAAATGATCAACTGTTTTGTAATCTCACCGCACAAAGAGAAGTTTGGACTTAGATTTCACATATATTAGAAGAGGTGATGAAGGTAGCTTTGTGCACAGTATTTAAGGAAGTCCACTGCACTGAGCCAGGGCGTCATTCAGAGAGAGAGAGAGCTAAAGTTATGATAGTGAATGAAATCACCGAGGGAGAGGGTAAGGCAAGAAGCTGTTACCCTGGGGCAGTGAATAGAGGGAGACAGCATGAAAATAGACTGACAGAGGAGGACCAAGGAGCCTGTGCCCCATCTAACAAGGGATGAGAGCTTCAGGGAGGACAGATGGTCAACAGAATCAAAATATTCAACACAGACCACCCTGTGGTTTTCAAAGGACAGGCTATATTTTAGTAGTCTTTCTTGAAAAAAAGGCACCTTCTCCTATACAGAGAAACTTTATAGCATCTGGACACTGCTCCAAAAGGGGAGGTTTTCAGAGGAAAGACCATTTCTCATCCTGTATTGTTACCATGTTGTCCCAGGGCAGGGCTGAAGAGCGACTACTAGTAGACCTAGAGCCATTATGCCCTGATTTGGTTGTTGGAAGGGCCAGACGGACCCTCTGGTTTTCTTTTTTTTCTTTCAGAATGCAGTTTCCAAGTATGGCTCTCAGTTCCGAGGCAATTCCCAGCATGACGCCCTGGAGTTCCTGCTCTGGCTGCTGGATCGTGTGCACGAGGACTTGGAGGGCTCGACCCGAGCGCCAGGGTCCGAGAAGGTCAGTCACTCTTAGAAACACATTGTATAATTTTCTTTTTTCCTCTAAATATTTACTCAGCTCCTCAAAACTGAATCTCGAAATTCAGATTCTAAGATTCCTGTGGATTCTGGCTCGTGTGTACACAGTGCCGTTCCCTGCTCCTTTCTCTTAGCTCTGTTTGTTGTAGACAATGCATTTTCTTCCACTGCAGTATTTTCGTCCTCTCTAATCCCAGTGATATCATGAATAGGGCTTCTTTTTGGCTTACATTTTGAAAAATCTCATTTTTGTCAATATTCTGTGCATTAGTGTGATCATATGAGGCCATGACTACCACCACTTATTATTTTCAGGTGGTACCATTTAACTCTACCATTGCGTTTTCTGTTTTGTATTCTACAGAGCATCAATTCCCATTCTTTTTTCTCATGACACTGGAGGAATGGTACATCTTTGTAGATGTGTACCTAGCATTTCCAGATTTTGATGAAACTTCAAACCTTTGAGAGTAGGAAAGCACTATAAACATTTGTAATAGCTCCAGTTAATTGATAATTAGTTATGTTCTCTATGGGGCTTTGCTAAATATACATGGTGGGTTCTGCTCTAATGCTATCCTTTTATCTCTCACTTAAGAAAATAAAAGTAAGTGGATATTATACGAAGAGTGAGCCAAGTTATTATAACAACATCTTTAATTTAAAAAATGTTTCCCAATCTTTGGTAATCAATCACATATTACTTTTGATGTATCTCAGTACTGATCCAATGCAGCTATGAGAACTGCTTTACCAGTGTTATTGCTTGTTTTAAATCTGGACACTTTATTCCCATCTCTCTCATGAATCAATTCCCATCCTTTCATTATTTGCTTGGAGCCCGTCATTCTAGAGTAATAAAGAATATGGCATGATGAATGTAGTTAATAATACTGAAAATTTGCTAAGAGAGTAGATTTCAGGTGTTCTTATCATACACAAAAAAGGTAACTATGTGAGGAGATGGATATGTTAGTTTGATGGTAGTAATCATTGCACTATCTGTATGTGTACCAGATCATCATGTTGTATACCTTAAATATATATAATGTTTTATTAAAAAGAAAAAGAATGAATGACTCAGAAAGCTGAGTCATTATTTTTAACTTGTCCACACAGCCAGCTGTTATCTATGCTTCTTTCTCTTTTAAAATGACAAATTGCAAGTTTAAGAAAAGGTAAACAGAACCATATATGTCTCAAATAAGAATAGACCCATTTTAAACAACAATATGATGTAATCAAAAGCTAAGAGTTGGATGGAGGTGCAAAAATGGTCCTCTTGCCCAAGACAGCAAGTTGCCTTCTGCATGGGATAGGGGAAGTAACAGTTGTACAGTATTCTGTACTCCTCAGATCACACCTTGGAATGATGTATACAATGTGGGTAACTGTTGTGATTTACAGAGCAGTGCTAAGGTTATTATCCACATTTTATATGTGTGTAAACCAAGAATCAGAGAGGTTGGGTAGACTTCCAAAAGCAACGCAGCTAAACAAGGGACAGAATCAGGATTCAAGTTCAAGGGGGTCTTGCTTGAAAGCCTGTTTTCTTATTTTAAAAAATCCCAAAACACCCCAGTCACCCACAAAACACACAAATGAACCAAACCAAAAACATCACCACATAAGAAACTGGGAGGACCACAAGTCAGAGGTTGTGGGATTATTGGTGATTTTTATCTACAGTGATTTTCTGTTTATCTTATTCAGACCCTTTTAGTTGCAAGTGACATAAATTTAACTTGATTCAACTTGAGCAAAGGGCATTTATTGGCTTTTATAGCTTGCACATCCAAGGATTGACTAGCTTCAGGTAAGGCTGGATCCAGGGACTCAGATGATGTCACCAGGTCTTTGGCGCTCTCTCTCTTGTCTCTGGCTTCATTCTCAGACCGTCTCTGCTCACACGGGGACAAGAGGGACACCTGCAATGCTCACATGGTCTTTAACACTTGGAATTCCAGAAAAAGCCCAGAGAAGAGTATAATTGTCCAGTGTGGTTCACATGTCCATTGCTGGGCAGGTGGCCAGCAGAATGGAATAGTCTGTGTGGGCACACCTGGGTCTCATGGGCATGTGTTATGTGTGTGTTGGAGGGATAGGGGTTAACGCCACCCAAGTCACATGACCAAGGAGGCCGTTTTTTAGGTTCTGTCAGGGCTGCTTTCCTAAGGAAAGGAATGCTGAGCAGGTAAACATGTCTACTACACTGTATATTCCATAATCTTAGAGTGAGCACATTTTGAAATCAGAATTATGTAATTTTTTAAAGATACTGTTTATTGAATATTTGTTATGTGCCATGCTTCTAACTTGATGCTTTTCATGATTTGTTTTGCTACCGACACACAGAAGACACCCAGTAGGCTCTTGAATGGTTGAATAAATTATGTAGTTACCATGCTTTAATATTTGTAAGGACAGCTCATGTTTTATAGTTATCGGGAATTTAGGTTAAGTAAGTTGTCCAAGGCCACTCAACTTCTTGGAGGAAAAAGAATTGAACCTGAGTCTATTTCAAAGCTACCATATTGGATCTCTTTCCTTGTCATGAGTGCCTTGTGCCTTCTCAGTTCCCCACCAGGTGGTGAGAGGAAGCCTGTCCTGCCTCTTTCGCTGGCTGCATATGAAAGGCCTCATGTCCTGCTTACCCCTCCTTTAGCTCTCTGGCTGTGCCAGGCAGCTCTTTCTACCTGGAATGTAGAAGGGATCAACAGCCTTCTAAATTGCCTTTAATCTTCCTCTTAGTCCCTTGGTGGGGGAAAAGGCATTGGGCTTAAGGGTGGGGAAGATAACTTCAGAGGTTAAGTAACTTGCCCCAAGTCACACAGCAAGTACAGGGGAGAGCCAGGAGCCAATCTAGGAAATGCAACTCTAGAACAGGGTTTCTTAACCTTAGCACTTTTGACATTTGGGGCCCAGCAATTCTTTGTCATGGGGGCTGTCCTTCACATTGCAGCGTTTGTAGCATCCTTATACCCAGTAGATGCCAGTAGACCCCCAGTTGTGACTGATAACCAAAAATGTCTCCAGACATTGGAAAATATCCCCTGGGGAACCAAAGCACCCCCCCATCCTTTCTGGTGAGAGCCTTTATTCCCAACCATGGTGCATGACTCCCAAACCTTTCTTTAAGATAACATTGAGTTTATTTAAGCCAAGAGGGCCTGCCAATAATTCTTCTTAACAACTTCAAGACCCATGTAAAAGCTGCCATAATTGGTCTTCCAGTTTCCAATATGCCGCATTACTATATATTCTCCACATTGTAGCCAGAGTGATCTTTTAAAAAGGAAAAAAGATCCTGTCACTCTCCTGCTTAAATTCCTCCAGTGGCTTCCTATGGCACTTAGAATAAAATCCAGACTCCTGTGTGGCTGACTGTGCCCTACCTGCCTGGGCCTGCCAACCACTCAGCCTGATTTCAGGTCCCTTTTCCCCTTGCTCATTGTTCTTGGTCATACTGGCTATTTTTGGTTTCTTTAATGGGCCAAGCATGTTAGGAGTACGTTATGACTGGGCCAGAACTGAGGTGGCTGTTTGCCAGAGAGAGGAACTTGCCTGGCTCTTAATTTGACCTGATTGAAAGCAGAAAATATCTTTTTCCTCTGTCTGGGGTCAAAGCTTCTCTTGAAATTTGCTCTCAGAAAATTGGGCCACCTGTGGAGGCCTGGCTGCCAATGCTTGAAGGGAAGGAGCAGGGCTGTGGGGATTATTTGGCACAAAACTTCATTTTCCCTTTCCAGGAAGGAGAGGATCTGTCCTCTGTATAACTCTGAACAATTTTTCTTTTTGAGGTTATTTCTGTTTCAAAACATATGAAAGCCATATAGCTAGATTTATTGAAACTGGAATAGAAAACAAGGATCACTTTCTTCTCTGTAACTGTAATGATTCTCAAATATTTTCATCTGGCAAAAAGGACATATTTTTACTATCCTATGGACACTATCACACAAGCAATCTTTTCGGCAGTTTATCTTACAGAAAACACCACTCTTGAAGAACTAAGAAAGGGATGAGGCTGGGAAAAGGACCAGGAAGCTAACATTTATTAAGTACTCACTATGTGTCAGGATATATACATCATCTCTTTTGATTTTAATGATGGCCCCATGAGGTGGATGTGATACTTCTATTCCTTTTAGATGTGGAACGAGGGTCAGAGAGATGATCAGGGTCACTTGGCTAACAGAGCAGAGCTAGCCTGGTCTGACCTCATAGTCGATGCTTTGTGAATGACCCTCTGCTGCCCCTCGCCCCAGCCTCTATACCCCATCCCTGGGTGATCCTGTCCACTGCCGCTCCCAACATGCTATATCAGCAGTCTTCAACCTTTTTGGCACCAGGGACCAGTGCTCCTATGAGAATCTAATGCCTGATGATCTGAGATAGAGCTGAGGCAGTGATGCTAGCCCTGAGGAGCAGCTGCAAATACAGATGAAGCTTCTCTCGCTGCCTGCTGCTCACCTCCTCCTATGCGGCCTGGTTCCTAACAGGCCACAGACTCATACTGGTCCACGGCCTTGGAGTTGGGGACCCCAGTGCTACATTATCACCTTGGTGCAGACGCAGCCTCTATCATTGTGAGGTCTTCAGCTGACTCAAACAAGATGGGAACTTATGAGAAGGCCAAGGAGCGGCACACAGATTCAAATGGAAGGCTGAAGAACCAGGCTTGGGACCGTTGAGAACCAGGCAGCTGTGGGGCTGTCTCAGTGGCAGGAACAGCTCTGGCCTGGACTCACTGCTAGAAGCACTGTTTTTAGCCTTTTGGTCACTCTGCTCATGATTCCCATGCAGGGCAGGAATATCTCATCAGTTTAGCTTGCGTCATATGCCTGTCCTTTGGAAAGGGACAGCAGTACCCCTGATTAAAGAGCCTTCCCCACTTCTCCATGGGCTGAATTCAGTGTTCCAAAGGGTGCTACTACCAAAGAGGAGAAGTGAACCCTGCACAGCCAAAAATGCGTTTCTGCTCTACTTCTGAGTTCTCCCTCATCTGAGCCCTTCATCTGCCTGCTGTTAGATGTCTCTGCCTGGACGTGGATAATCCTGGGTGTGGATGTCCTTCCCTGACACACTGCTTTTGACTCTTCTGATCAGACATTCTCCAGGCACCAGATTGGAAGCTTGGAGTTGGTCCTGTTTATCTCCTTCATTTTTCTCCCTCTGCTCCCCAATCAGGTGCTCAGTTATGAGCTGCATACACTGGGTGTCTGAGTTTATTCTTCTTTTTCATTTTTCAAAGCTCCTACTATATATCATTTATTATCCTTTTATTAGGGTTGAGAAACCTTGGAGCAAGAGATTAAGAAAGTTGTTTAGCTGGATCAGAGGTCAAGTAACCCTAACAGCCAAGTACCAGCACAGGGATTTGAATTCAGACTGTCTGACTCCAGAGTCTCATTTTTTAACCCTGGTACTGTGCTCTACAGTCATTAGGGTACTGAAGGCCCCACCCAATGTAGCTCCAGACTCTCTCCAGACCTATTTTCTCCTTTGCTTTGTATATCCTGTATTCTGGTCAAATTGGGCTTAATAAAATAGTAGGACAAATAAGAGCGACCATTCCAAGTATTTGTCACTCTTGTTTGTCTCACTATTTTATTATGGAAAATTTCAAGCATACAGAAAAGTCAAATTAATTATACAGTGAACTCCTCATACCGACCCACTTAGATTCTGTAATTTATATTTACTAAAATTGCTTTATCACATATTTATCCATCCATCCCTCTGTCTACTCTTCACTCCATCTTCTTTTTCCCTCATCTTATTTTTTTTTTTTTTTGATGTATTTTAAATTAAAATTCAGACATTGGTACACTTGAACCCAAGCACTTCACATGTGTTCCTTTTTCCTGGCTCTTTGAAGATGTTGGCCTTAAAGACCAGAGTGTCGTGGCCACAAACCATGAGGTTCTTGTAGCCATAGGAAATTGGAAGAGGCAAGGAATGTTCGGAGGGAGTGTGGCCTTGCCAACACCTTGATTTTGGGCTAGTGATACTGATTTTGAATGTCTGGTGTCAAGAACTGTGAGAGAGTTAATTTCTGTTGTTTTAAGCCACCAGTTTGGGGTAATTTGCCACAGCAACAATAGGAAACTAATACATAAGAGAATGCAAAGAGGGATACAACAGGACTGATGTGTGGAGCAAAGGAGCTTATGTGTTATTCTAACCACAGCAACAACAGGAAACTAATACATAAGGGAATGCAAAGAGGGATACAACAGGACCGATGTGTGGAGCAAAGGAGCTTATGTGTTATTCTAAGGTGCAAGGTAGTTTGTCTGAGAAAGATGGTCATGTGAAGAAGACTGGCTTACTGAAAAATGTGGACAGAAATGGTTTAGTAGGTAGAGGATGGGAAGATTTCGTGTGGATGTGTTTGAAGTCATCGGAGCACCAAAGTGAAATGTACAGGTGGCATCTAGACACATGAGGCCCAGCAGGTTGGAGATAAAGAACAGGGTAGTCAGTGAGCCTGGGTGAGTATGTGTGAGTGTTCACCGAGGTTCATGCTTCAGTTCTTTCAATACATTCTCTCTCCCAGGGAATTTGGGAAGTCAAGAGATGGGAAAGTGAATTATGGTAAAGGCAACATTGAAGGTCCAGGTTCTGCAGAGTCCATGCCCAGAAAGTGGGGATGAGGGCCCAGGAGGAGGCCGGGGCTCGATGGTATGCAAGCAGTGGAGTGAAGGGAGGTGTATCTAATTTGCTTTCTTTCCTCATTTCTTTGCAGCTTCAGCCCGAAACCAGTAAAACCTCTGAGAACCTCCTGTCACCATCGGCTCAGCTCTCTTTAGGTCAAAGCTTTGTGCAAAGCCACTTTCAAGCACAATATAGGTAAGAATGGGATGTGTTTAGAATTACCCGTGAATTCAGCAAACTTATACACTGGTAACTAGTCTCCTATGGCCAGGTTTACCCTGAGATTAGAAATACAACAAAACCCACGAATATCCTTCTCTCTCCCTTTATAAACCCCAGTTAACCATTTACTCCTGTGGTCGCTGACATTTAGTATTTCTTTCCCTTCTTGCTGGCTTTTGGGAGTCATGCGAAGATGGTTCTACAGATTGTGAATGTGGAGGCCAGGATCTCCCCAGCAGGTAGCCATTGGGAAGCTGGTGAGACCCTTCCTATTTGTTCTTTATAGCCAGAGAGCCCAGTTTAAGTTATTGAGTTTAAAATTTCCCAGCATTCTGGAGGATATAAAAAATATACAAGTACACAGGCTTTGACTTCAGAAAAGTTCTCTTTGGGCTTTTATATCTGATGGTTCAGAGATTCACATAAGGTAGACTATTTCAAGTATTACAATGCTTTAATGAAAGCACTAATTGCAGTGAGAGGTCAGAAAGGGAGAAATCATCCTGGGCTTCTCAGAGGAGATATGCCTTTTGATAAACCTCTGAAGGAGGAAAAGGATTGAATGGGTAGAAACATATTCAACAAGAATGCAAACCTCTTAGAGGTGGAATAAGCACAATGATCAGGATTTAGGGGAAGCCATTGTTACAGAGAACTCCATCTAAATGACATGCTCACCTATATATTTTAAAATTTAATCCTTTCAGGAACCCTAAGAGATGAGTTACAATCTGGGAGGCTGGGGCATCTGGGAGGTTGGGCTTTTCATGAGGACATATAAGTTCCTTGTAAATGGTGGAACCAGGGTTTGACCTTAATAGATCTTTGAAGCACAGTTCCTTGTGCTTTCTTTGTAATTCTTCCTCTTTGGTTATTTTTCCATCCCAACTTGTTCTGTGCTTAGGATGTTCTGCTCCTACTTCGGTTGTGCAGAAGCTTTGCCCTCTTGTTCTCTATTATGAATGTTAAACTTTTTAAAATATTTTTTCTTCTGGATGTTGCATTCAGTCATTTTCAAAGGTGTGCTCTTCTCTGAGTCTTCTGGATACTCTTCCCTTTCTTTTGCTCTGTTGTGTTACTCATAGGCCTCCTATTGTTTTTTTCTCTTATTTACTTCAGACAAAGTAACAGCTATTCAGTGATTTAGAATTCACTTATTTATAGCCATTTACTTCCATACTTTTTGGGTATTTGTATTATTTGCGTTTGGGAAGGAGGAGATCACTTAAAATTGCCCAGAAACTGTCCTGATGTTGGATTTATATTATATTCAGTAATGGCCAATAAAATAAATCAGTGATCACTGTCTTCGAGTTGATTGTTTATTTAGGAAGACCAAATAGTCTCTGAAACACTTTGGAAAGATGCCAAAACAGCTTTCCACTGGAGTGGAAAATCCATAGCATTCGAGAAGTTCTCTTCCTCCCTGCCCTGCGGGAGTTGGAGGGTGGACCCTGAACGAACAGCTAGAATGACCATGGGCACTCCACTCCCACCCTTGATTGCTTAGCATATGGGGTGATTAAGATCTCTTCTTAATGAGCCCAAATCTCATTGTTGTACATGAAGAGTGGCCCACTTATTTCTGAGAGATGTTGTGATGCACTACAAGGTATGCATCGAGGAAACCTAGATTTCATGGCTACTGACCTTTTGGGCCAGGAAAACTACTTGTAGAGCATCTGTCTTATCTTCAGGTGCCCAAAGCACAGGCTGCTTGAAATAATAATGAGACAGAGAAAAAGAAGAATAAAGGAGAAAGCAGAAACCTATGGAAGGAGGGAAAAGGGAGTATAAGACGAAGGCATGTTAGAGAGTGGGGAAAGGTCACCAGGTACCACTCATTGGTGCCCTTGTAAACTAAATTCACTTATTTCTCTGCTCACTCCATTCTCTCTACCCTCTTCCCCTCTTGTCCACACATACTGTCTTCTTTCAAACATCTGAGCATCTGATATTATGTTTGGTCCAGTAGTTACAATGAGGAACAATAGTTCTTTGCCCATGAGAGAGAAATACTCATTAAATATATCCATTTATTCTCTAGATAGTTTATTCATGCCTACTATGTGCCAGGTTCTCTTCTAGGGGCTGGTTTTTGAGCTGTGAACAAGACCCAGAGCCTGTTCTCATGGAGCTCACATTCTCTTGCTGACGTGTTAGATAATGTACATGTCAACAAACAACTTGCCATAGTGATAAGTGAAATGATAAGGCGTAACCTGGGAAGTGGGGGAAGCAGCCAACCTCAGATAAGGTGGTCAAGGAAGGCTTCTTTTCAGAGGAAACATTTGAGCTGAGAACTGAGTGACAAGGAGTCAGCTATTCAAATACTTGGGGACAGCGTATTCCAAGCAGAAGAAGTAGCAGAGACAAAAGGCCTGAGATGGGAATGATCTTGGCAAGTTAAAGGAACAGAATGCTGCCCAGAAGTGAGGGCTGGGAGGTGAGGCTGGAGAGGCGGATGGGGACCTGGTAGTGCAGGTATCCAGTCCAAGGGTGCGGTTTGGTCTAAAGGGCCCAGGAAGCCACTGCAAAATTTAAAGCAGGGTGTGGTCTAGTTACTAATTTAAGAGGTAATGCTGGTTGTTATAGGCAATGAAGGGAGACAAGACTGGAAGCTGAAGCAGCAGCTGATGTTATGCAGTCATCCCAGTGGGTGAATGATGGTGGCTGGGATCCAGGAAGTAGGGGTGGAGATGGAGAGAAGTGGATGGGTGGGGAAAATGTTTTGGGTATAGAGTCAATAAGACTTCTTAATTGGTTTAAGGGTGTGGGGTAGAAGGACTGAGGGAAAGATGAGAATTTAGGGTTACTCCTGGGTTTTTATATACTTACGTCTGGTGAATACTTTGAAGAAAAATCAAGGGTACTTTGAAGTATACATTACAGATGTGAAAGAGGAAAAAACTCTTGTTTTCTTACTCCTCTTTGCTATTACCACACTTAACAATACTTCTGACACCAGATGGGTGGGTGTTTTTCCCACACCAAGCAATTCTGCAGTTCTCTGTGGACACCAACTGAGTGCCTACAATTTAATTCAATTCTGTCACTATCTACCTGGAGATAGCGTCAGCTCCCATAGATTAAGGGCTCAGTCCCACAAGACTGCCTCCCCACCAGACAACAGTTACAAGTCCCAGGTTGTCACCCGTGTTTCTAACCTACTGACCATAAATCCGAGGTTCCCATGACTGCCTCCTCAGGTTCGATGGTTTGCTAGAGCAGCTCACAGAACTCAGGAAAACAGTTTACTGGTTTACTATAAAAAGATACAATTCAGGTACAGCAAGATGGAAGAGATAAACAGAGCAAGGTGTGTGGGAAAGGTTGCAGAGCGCCCATACCCTCTCGGGGTGCACTACCCTCCCAGCACCTCCACATGTCCATCAACATAGAAACTCTCCAAACTCCTGCTAGGGTTTTTATGGAAATGTCATTACACAGGTGTGATCGATTAAATTATTGGCCATTAGTGATGAACCCAACCTCTGGCTCCCTTCTCTTCCCCTGAAGGTATGGGGGAGGGGAGCTGAAAGTTCCAACCATCTAATCACATGTTTGGTTCCCCTGGCAACCAGCCCCATTCTGTGGTTATGTAGGGGCTTTCCAAAATCACCTCAATAACATCACTCAGGTGTAAGGGGCTTGTTATGAATAACAAAAGATGCTCCTTTCACCTTTATTCTTGCTCTTATCACTTAGGACACGTCAAGGTTTCGGGAGCTCTGTGCCAGGAACAGGTGTGGAGACTAAATATGTATTTCGTATTAAAATCATAGTATCACTCTGACTGGTGCAGGGTGAGTCAGGAGAAGATTCCTGAGGAATTGACATTTGCGCCGATCAGATATTAAGTACTGCAAGTGCCCTTCGGGCAGATTACTATAGGATGATGAATAAGAAGCGAGGTATTCATGCTGAAAAAGTACTGATGACAGCTAAAAATACCTGCTTTGTGCCTGATCGTCTATAGTAAAGAAAAATAATAGCTAGAAATGTCCATCAGGCTAGGGCTTTGAGGTCTGAAAAGTGATTTTTTGCAGCAGTCAGTGGCGGCCAGCTCTACACTGGTGCCCTTGAGTGGTGGTGCCTCCTGGACCCTCCTCAGCCTTCCTTTCCATTTGGGAGGGCTTGCCTAAGATAGAAAGCTGCCCTGGTATCAGCCTTCTTTAAAAAATTGAAAGCTAGAAGAGGTATTATGGGTTAATTCAGAGGTCCCTGTTCACTGACTTTCTCCCTCCTTCATCCCCTCACCCCCTTTTAGGGGGCTGAGTGTTTGAATTTGGCTGGAGGAGAGAAGGAAGAATAGTAGTATTAGGGTACTGGTGCTGCAGACTAAAGGAAAAGTAATTAGCTATTCTATATGATTATGACCACAACCTAAAACACTTGCAAGTTTAATAACCAAGGATTGTTGATCTATTGGAATTTTGGCTAGAGGAGGCAGTGTATGTGTGTGTATGTGTGTGTGCATGTGCATGCTTGTATTTGTTTATTTCTTCATGTTATTTATAGCCTTATTCACAGAAAGTCTAATCTGGTTCCCATCACAGGCAGCATTCCCTTCTAGGCAGAGTATGCTTTAGGAGGCTTTCTCAGAATAGATTTTGGAGAGGTGACATCTTGCTTATGTGTTGTCATAATTCCTGTTGGTGGCGTAGATATCAGTTCCACTGTCCAGTGAGCAGGCGAAGCTGGCCAGGTGTGAGGTATGAAATGTGTATATGGCAGTAGCGAGAGGTCAGAGTGACAAAGTGTGCAGTGTCAGAGTGTGGGGCTCATTTCTGGACATTTGTAGCTGGCAAGAAACAAGCAGCAGTGCCAAGGTACAGTAGCAGCTGACTAGGTTGGCTTTAGAAGAGAAGTTTGACAAGGAGAGCAAACACCTTAAGGAGATGGGTGAGTGAACATTGAAGGGCAGTGGGGGTGATTTTCTGTCCCTTTCCCCCTGTGAGTGCTTGGGGGACAACAGGACAAGACTGAATGCTCTAGAGGGGATGGCGAGGATTAAAGGACCCCTCCGGCCACATTTGAAGTATAGCTGGAACCTAGTAACTTCCAGTTTTTTGTAGAAATGATGCTGCCCCTCTCTTCCTGATCTGCTGGTCCCACTTACTCTGTCTCATTTCTTATCCTTTCAGGCATATTTCACTTCCTTTCTGTAGTTTATCATGAAAACAGGGTTTTCTTCATTCTTTAAATATAAAATTAGACCCTTGTAAGTTTTTTCCCTGACAGAGGTTCCCTGACAGAGGTTCATAGTTCAAGATAAAGGTCTATCCCAGTTTAGTGTGATGCAACTCTACAAGAAAAACACAGCCTAGCTTAGTTTTAGTAGGTTAAAAAAAAGTCAAAGAAAAATATTTCTTTTCATTTGATTGCTAAAATGCAAAACGGGGATTTGGAAGTTTACCAAGGACAAAAATACATCTTCAGCCCCCTGTTATGTCTAGGTACTTGATGGGTGAAGGTGGGAGAATTAGAAGAAAAATGGGATGGAAGAGGAAACTCCACAATGCCATAGAGTCAGGTTCCCCTTGATGTCTGATATACCTCTTTTTTTTTTTTTTAATTTTCTTTTTTTACTAAAACATTACCATGGTATTCCCAAAGAGAAATTTATCAGAGTCAGTGAGAATGATTGAACATTAAATACTTGGGTCTGTTTTCTAGAATCATGGTTGGTGTGCTGTTAACTTGTATCCAGGAGAGCCAGCTTGCTATGAGCATATTATTTAGGGTTGCCTTGGGCAGGACCCAGAAAACCTCAGGGTTTCTTGCTTTTCCCTGTTTGTTTGTTTGTTTCTGTTTTGACTGCTCAACAGAAAACCAATCTAGCAGAGGGTCAGAAAACCTAGTTCTGGTAGCAGCTCCAGTTGCTTGCTGACTTACTCTGCTAGTGAGTACTGTTCCACATTTTCCAAGGAAGTTAATGCAGATTCTAGGATAAGGATTGTATAGCATCCAGAAATCTCTTATATTATGGAAGAAATAGTACATCATATGATTAAGGAAATAAAATTTGAGCACCCATGTGGAATATAAAAGTTGCTCTTCACTTTCAGAGATACATGCTAAAATAAGGGAGTGTTAAATTTAAGAGTTTTAAGAATATAAATAAACTGTCTGCATATCTACTCTAAAACAATGCCTCACTCACTTATTCTAAAGACTGCAGGAACGGTAATGAGCATGGACTCTGAAATCTGAGCCTAGCTCTGCCCCTCAAGAGCTATGTGTCCCTGGGCAAATTACATAACCTCTCTGTGTTTCAGTTTTCTCCTCTTTAAAATGGGGATAATCCTGGTTGCTATGGGTAGCACATGGGTTAATATGTGCACAATGCTCAGAATAATGCCCAGTTCTTACTAAATGCTGTTTCATTGTTAGCTATTACTGGTAGCTGCTATTTTCCGAACTTTGTTTTTTTATTGGTACAAGAAGGAGGGCAGACTGCATCAGTGGTTCTCAGCCCTGTCTAAACAATAGTGTCACCTGGAGAACTTTTAAAATTCTGATGCCTGTGCCTCTTCCTACTTCCCTTGAAACAGAATCTCTAGGAGTAAGGCCTGGACATCTGCATTTGAAGAAAAGTTTCCTGTGTGATCCTGGGGCACAGTGAGCCTGAGAACCAAGGGAATAGATGGTCCTGAGAGCCCTTCCAGCTTAAAAGCTGGCACACTATGTTTCTATTTGGAAGGGATGTAGCTTCCCTTTCCATGCTCAGTGAACAAATACATACTCAATGCACTTTTTTTTTGTAAAAAATTGAGGTGGAAGTCATATAACATAAAATTAACAGTCTTGAAGTGTACAATTCAATGGCATGTACATTCACAATTTTATGCAACCACCACCTCTTACTAGTTCCTAAGCATTTTCATTACTCCAAAAGAAAACATGATATCCATTAAGAGGTCATTCCCCATCCTTCCTTCTCGCAGCACCTGGCAACCACCAATTTGCTTTCTGTCTCTCTATGGTTTACCCATTCTGGGTATTTCCTATAAATGGAATCATAAAATATGTGGTCTTTTATGTTTAACTTCTTTCACTTAGTGTGATATTTTTGAGTTTCGGCCATGCTGTAGCATATGTCAGGACTTCATGGCTGAATAATTATCTTGTGCGTAAATACTACATTTTATTTACCCATTTATCCATTGATGGCCATTTGGGTTGTTTCCATCCTTTGGCTATTGTGAATATGCTACTATGAACACTTGTGTACAAGTATTTGTTTGAATACCATTTTCAATTTTTTGGTCGTATACCTAGGAGTGGAATTGCAACGATAAATCTGTATTTAACTTTTTGAGCAACAGCCAACTGTTTAAATGTGATTAAACTTTAATCTTTATTTTTTGCCCTCACAGATCTTCTTTGACTTGTCCTCATTGCCTGAAACAGAGCAACACCTTTGATCCTTTCCTGTGTGTGTCACTTCCTATCCCCTTGCGCCAGACAAGGTATGTGAGTGTCATGCCCAGTGAACCTTACTTCCATTCTTACTCCTTATTGAGAACCTTCTGGCCTTGCATCTGTAATTGTCTCTCTTCTGCTTCTCTGCCAGTATTTCTCTAGAAACCAGCCACTAGCTGGATGACATTCAGTTATGGAATGTGACAATTAAAGTGAAAGGTTACTATGTCCCATATTTATCTGAAGAAGTAATTACAAACAATGCTTTTGTAAATTTATCAGCACCAGGCTTATGTCTTTGGCCCATTCAAAAGCTGGCATGTATCACTCAGTCAGATGGACAAATGGGAGAAAATCTGTCACCACCTGCTTTTCCCTGCTTTATTTCCAAATCCTCTCTCCTTTTTTGTGAAGGTGTAGGAAAATGTTTAAGGAGCAAAGAAAAGGGGAATGGGTTGTTAGAGGAGACGAGATAAAAAGAAAAGAGGAGGTAGGATTTGGTAAGAGCTGTGGCGGGGCCCAATTTTGTAAAAAGAAGTAAGAAGCACATAATATAGGCCTCCAGGAAACCTAGGTCTTAGCAGTGACCATAAGGCAACTGACCAATGTCACTGTCATGGAAGTTTAGTGAGCAACTGCATAGAGTACTTTCACTGACGTCAAGATGGTGGCATTTCTTCCTTGCATTCCCCAACTTTGTCAATGCAAATTTTCTTGCCCTCTGCAGCTGAAGGCATGACAACCTCATAAAGCTGATAGCCTATGCCACAAATATAGCACTGCCTTATCCTATCACCAGTGACACCATGAGATGATATCTAGTGGTAGATGTGGGGTGAGACTCCTGGCTTGATGCAGCATAGCACATTGGTTAGGATCACCGACTAGGGCCAGACGGCCTGGGTTCGAATCCCAGCTCTACTAATTAGCTGGGTGACTTGTATAATTACTGCAGTATAGAACAGGAGCTGGAAAAGTGAGGCCTTAGGTATGCTGGTGGGGTTGGTAGGAGGTGGGACCAGATAAAGCGGAAGGGGCATGTTCCCCTAGCAAGGGAGAATTTCGATAAGGAAAGGAGGGCGTCGTCAATAGTGTTGAATCTTTAGAAGAAGCTTGGCTGCTTTACTTCTCAAACTTCAAAGTTTGTTTTTGATTAAGATTTTCTATTTAACAAACAGAACCTTGAGACCATAGATCTTTGTTTTGATTCTTAATCAAATACCTTTTATTTTTAACTTGCTGGAAAAGTATACTCAGCAGAGACTCTTGGAGAATTGGCTCTCCACTGCCACCTTGTGACAGTGTACCTAAAGTACAGTGACTAGACCTGGAAGCAGAGATTAGCCTAAGTGCCAAACTTGACCCAGTGTCAATGGTGTTGGGGATACTTCATGTCAATCCTTTAAGGATATGGACTCCTTATTTTTCAGATTCTTGAGCATCACCTTGGTCTTCCCCTCTAAGAGCCAGCAGTTCCTGCGGGTCGGCCTAGCCGTACCGATCCTCAGCACAGTGGCAGCCTTGAGGAAAATGGTGGCAGAGGAAGGCAGAGTCCCTGTGGATGAGGTATGATGGAATTGCATGGGACCTGGTCACTGGATGATGAAGTGTTAACTGGGCCAGCTGTTTAGGCTGTTTTAGGCTCATTTCTGGTTCCCAGGTTTCTCTAGTTTGACTCACAAACTTTTGTTTGATCAGTGGTCTCTGGTGTCAGTGATGACTGAGCCTTGACCTCCCTGTACTTACACAGAATAACTAGAAAAGGACACCACCTTTGTCTTCCAAGAAGGTGTCACTGTATGATGAAGTGCTAACTGGGCCAGCTGTTTAGGCTGTTTTAGGCTCATTTCTGGTTCCCAGGTTACTCTAGCTTGACTCACAAACTTTTGTTTGATCAGTGGTCTCTGGTGTCAGTGATGACTGAGCCTTGACCTCCCTGTACTTACACAGAATAACTAGAAAAGGACACCACCTTTGTCTTCCAAGAAGGTGATGATAATTACCATCATAGTAATTCTAACACTAGCTATCCCTCAGTAGTGCTTAATGAATGCTGGATACAACTCTATGAACTTTATATTCATAGCCAATTTAATTCTTAACCATCCTATGACGTAGATGTTAAAATTATCTTCATTTTACCAGAGAGCAAAGAAGAGGCATTGAGAGGTTGAGTGGCTTGCCTAGGATCACATAGCTGCTAAGTGACTGAGCCAGGATTTGAACACAGATGGTTTGATTTCAAAGCCTGAGCCACTATTCAATATTTTCACTCCTGTGAATATAAGCCAGGATGCTGAAGGGACAATAAATGAAATATGAGGAACCACTGAGGGAACTGAGCATGGGTAACTTGAGAGGGGAGATTTGGGGGAAAGTGGGATGGTTATGCTCTACTAGTTTTTTTAAAGGAGTCCTGGTAAAGAGATTGGATTCACTGTGACTTTGAAGGGTGGAACTTGTAACAGGGGCCCCCATGAAAGGGTAGGATAGAGGCGATGGTGTGGAAAAGCAATGTGGCATGATGGGAAGGGCTCAGAATGGGGTTTTACTTGTGATTCAGTTACTTTCTAGTTTTCTGACCTTGGACAAAATAATCGGTCCTCTGTTTCTTTAACTGTAAAATGGAAATTTTACATTTTTCTGATGCCCTCATGGGATTTTTTCAAATTAAATATTTTTAACCTTTTCCTTAAGGAGTAACACAAATACAATAAAGTATACATGTCTTAAGGTTAGAATTTGTTGAGTTTCTACATGTGTACACATCCGTGTAAACCATGTAAACCACTGAGCCTTTCCTTCACCTCAGTGAGCTCCTTCCTGCCCCCAACCAATTCATCCCTCTGACCTCTATCACCATTTTTATGAGGATCTCAAGAGGGGAAAATGTGTTCATTTTGCTTTGTAAACTCTAAGTGCTCTATGGGGATCTATTGAGAGAGAGAGAGAGAGAGAGTAAGATAGTAGGTTAGAGTCTTGGGAAAATATGGTAGTAATAAATGAACAATATGGGGAAGTCTGAGGGAGGTGGAGTTTGAAAAATTAAGAGAGTAAAAGGACTGTCAGGAATTTGAGAGGTGTGTGTTTGTTCAGTAAGATATATATCACTTGGGATTCCTAGATACAAGGGTGGACACTTTGATTAGAACTTAAAATCTATTTTTGAGATTTTGTTTTGATTGGCAACTTTATTCCGTTTATATTATCTATAATCATGAATACATTTGGACCTGTTTTTATCATCTTATTTTATGCTTTCTATTTACCCTGCTTTTTCTTTATTTCTTCTCTTTTACTGAGCAATTTTTCTTTATTCCATCTCTCAGGTTTGAGACATATAATTATAGTTCTGTGCTCTTACTGGTTATCGTTAAAATGTCAACATGCATAACTACCAAGTCTTATGTTAACTTTCCCAAACAACACAAGGATCTTGACATGCTTTAATTTCCTTTACATATTTTTTGATTATCGTAGATTGATATTGTTGTCCAGTATTTTAATCCCTCTTCCCTTTTTTCCCTGGTTGTAGTGGTAGTATAATTGTTATTATAGTTTTATATAGTCAATGCATATTTACATTTATCAATGTTTACCATATTCTTTGGTTCACCCTTTCTTCTCACAACTTGAGTTTTCCTTCAGATTCAGTTTTGTTGTTTTGTTTTGTTTTTTTTTAACTCTGAGATGTTATCTTTTACAAGAGAATTTCTCAGCCAATGTGCCTTGAATGGTTTATGTGTGCTGAAATGTCGATTCCTTTAGGCCTTGAGATGACAGAGTTGGGTCTGAGGCAGCTAGGACCCTCAAGGCAGTTACCCCTCTTTTTCTCTGTAAAATAAGCTGCTTCTGCTTACCGTAGTATTCCATGAAAATATTTTTTATGTATGACATAATGTGAAATGTGTTGGCAATTCTATTTAGTTCTTTCAGCGGAGATATGTTAATGGTAAGCACTCTCATTTTTTGTTTATCTTAAGATTTTATTTTATGTGCATCTCGCATGATAGTTTAGCTGGATATTAAACTTTAATTTTCAACTTTCTTTTCCCCACCTTTCCCTAGGGAAGTTTGATATTTTATTGTTGCAGTTGAGATGTCTCTGATTAATCCATGTTTTAGTACTAAAAATAAACGGTTTCTTACTAGTTATAAGGGAGGACAGGGTAAAAGAGGTTTAAGCCTATCAGTCACTTTTATTTTATTTATTATTTTATTATTTTTTAAATTAAAATATTACAGTTGGCATTCAATATTAAATTAGTTTCAGGTGTACAACATACTGGTTAGACATTTCTATAACTTATAAGGTGATCCTTTCATCAGTCTAGTACCCATCTGACACCATACATAGTTATTACAGTATTATGGACTATATTCCCTATGCTGTACTTTACACCCCTGTGACTATATTGTAACTGCCAATTTGTACTTCTTAATCTCTTCACTTTTAGATTTGTTGAGTTCACTTTGAGGAATCAAGAGGGAAAATGATCTTTTTCATTCCAGGTGATCTTGGTTGAACTGTATCCCAGTGGACTCCAGCGGTCTTTCTTTGATGAAGAGGACCTGAACACTATCACAGAGGGAGATAATGTGTATGCCTTCCTAGCCCCGCCACCAACTGGCCAAGAGATAAGCTCAGGTATAATAGTGCTTGCATAATTATGAGTTACAGGTTTGAGAGGGTATTCATTGGGTGCTAAGGCATAAGATTTTAGTACTTGGAGCTATCGGGCTTATTTTCTCTGATATTAGTTATACAGATAGTTGATTATTTTAAAATATTCAACTAATACAGGGGTTTCCAAAACCTTAGTGAGTATCAGAGTCACCTGGAGGGCTTTTTTAAGCACATTTCTGAGCTCTACTCACAGAATTTCTGATTCAGTAGGCCAGGGGTAGGACCTGAGAATTTGCAAGTATAACAAATTTCCAGGGGATACTGATGCTGCTGGTCCTGAGATCATACTTTGACAATCACTGATCAGAATAGGTGCTGGGGTAATCTTTGTTTTCAGACTCCTGTGGTTCAAGGTCTGTGCTTAAAGAAAAATTTTTTATTTTTTTTTTACAAACTGGAGCAGTTGATGGCCAAAGAGGTTATTTAATGACTTTTCGTTAATAGTCTACTTTTGATGCTTGCCTTTCCTAATTTTTAGACTGGCTAAGATGGTCAATTTCTGAGAGTCTTTCATTGTAGGTCAGTATATGTTTTAGTCCAATTAGCCAGTCAAGATAGCCCATATTTAGAGGACCCTGAGCCAATGTTACCTTATATCCCAGATGAATCCTGTGTCTAGGCCCCAAATCCTCAGCTAGCCTAGGTGGAAGGCTATGGGAACCAGGTGTTTGTGGTTGCTCTGGGTCGACAGACTCTGGGCAAGGAATCTGGAACAGGACATTAGCCCTGATTATGTTGTAACTCAGTGAAACAAACCCTCATTTCAAATTCAATCACAGGAGACATATCTGTGCCTTAAAAGTTAAATTTTCAGAACTGATCGGAAATCGAGGAAAGTCCAATTCTTCCACTTTCTCAAGGGTAAAGATTCTTACCTTCTCTGTATGCTCCTCATGTTGGCTTTCTAAGAGAGTCGATACTCTCTGATCAAGGCATACAAGCAACCAAAGTCATTTTGGAATATTTTTCAGATTGGCTTTGAAAGTGTTAATTAAAATCTCTGTCCTTATTTTAAAATTATTGGCTGAACACAGCACAAATTCACTATTTATACAATCATAGCGTGCCAGATTCCAGATGGCGTAAGTGCCATGAACCTTATATCTCTTCCACTAAAGCACTCCAGTGTCTCCCAAAGGTGGGTAAGAGTACTCAAAGAGAAAGAGGACTTAGAGAAGCCAGGGTTCTGACTCAGCAAAGCAGCTCCTTTAAGAATACAAATGTAATTTTCTCTCTTCAGCTTGTCCACCTGGTCTGTCAGTCTCCCCACGTTTGGCAGCCCGTGAGAGTCAGCGATTATCCCTGCCTCTCCATAGTGAGAACAAGGTGCTAATCCTCTTCTGTAACTTGGTGGGGTCAGGGCAGCAGGCTAGCAGGTATGTTTAACTTTTATTTCTTCTTACATAGTGTATGGGAGGTATAGACGTGTACTTGGAATTTTGTCTAGAATAATTGTAATTTGATAAAATTTAACATTCACTCTCAAGGTTAGTCAGCTTGGGAATAGGGAATAGGGTACTTTCTGATCAAGAGAGCAGAATTAACTGCTTTAAGCAGATGGCAGACATCATCCTTTACGATTAAACATTGAAAGCCTTCCTGTTAGTTTCAGGAAAAGTTATTATTGCTCTCACCACTATTATTTTATACTGTGTTGTAAGGCCTGGGCAGTGCAGTAAGACAGGGAAAAAGAAACTGGCTATAAGAGGAGATAAAATTACCACTATTTGCAAGGTTATATCATTATCTGGAGAACCAAGAACATAAAAGTGATTGAACTAATGAAAGAATTCAGGAAAGTGACTGGTTACATAACAAATATACAAAAGCAGATAGTTTTCTTCTATCATCCAAATAGAATGTTTAAAAGATTTATTTATTAAAAATAACAAATTTTTAAATTGATAAAATGTTCGCAAGATTTATCTGGAATAATAAACTCGTAAGAATGGCCAGAAAATATTGGAGGAGGGACAAAGGAGGAAGAGGGATTCCTTTATTAAAACAGAATAAAGTTTTAATTATTAAATTATTGTGATATAGGCAGAATAAACATTTAAATCAATGGAACAGAATGGGCCAAAGTATATTTAAATATTTATTATGTGATAAGATGGCATATTTCATATTATTAGAGAGTAAATGAATTATTCAATGTATAAGGCTAGGTTAATTGATTTCTTTCTTAGTTTTATATAATCAATTTTTTACTCTCACCATAAATTCATATGTATATATTCTAGATTAATTAGAGAAGTAATTAGAGAAAAGGAAACCATAAAATAACTTGAAGATAATATAGAGGAATATTTATATCTTCGAGTGGGGGGCTATTTTAACACCTAAGGCAGGGTCTATAGAGAAAAAGTCTAGTTTTTAAAATATATTTATAATTTTAATGTAAAAGCAAATTTAAAGACAAAGCACAAGTGAGGAAAAATATTTATGTCATATGACAGATAAAGGATGTATATTCCTCATATAAAACCTACCTCTCAAATTATTGAAAGAAATATTCAGTTTCATATAGTAGTAGAAGAAATTTTGATTACAATAGCAATAAGCTATTAGTAACCTCTCAGATTGTTAAAGAATCTTTGAAAATTGATAATACTTATCCTGGGCAAGTGTCAAGGGAATGGGGTGTGTGCCTCACTGATAAATTGGTGTGGCTTTTCTGGAGGGTGGCTAGGGAATAAATAGCTTTGGTTTTGGGTTTCCACTTTGGGAACTTTATCTAAAAAAACAATGAGTTGTGCACCCAAAGGTGTGTGTATAAGAATATACGTAGTTCCTAGTATAAGCAAGTATTGTTTAAATGAGAATTGGAAGCAACCTGACTGCCCAGTAGTAGAGGGGAAGGTGAACAAACGGATCTGTCCACACAACCAGCGCCTTTGCCCATCCAGACATACCTCAAATCTGCGCTGCTTTCGCAAAGTTTATTCAATGGTTTCACCTTCTTATCCCATTGGTTCTTCACACAACCTGTGTGGTGTGACTATGGAGTAGTCACAGGTCAGTAACTTGTCCAGTTGTACCCATGGCTGAGCTAGACCTGACAGCACAGCCACATCTGGTGATCTCGGCACTACAAACTCACTGTTGTGTGTTTATCAGATTGGGATATGAAAAATATTCTTGACTATGAGAATATTCCTGATGCACAAAACCAACAAAGTATCAGCTGGAATGGATTCCCTCCGGGTTTATGTCTGCCTTGCTTTCTTCTGGCTCAGATCTTCTCTTCCACTACTCTCTACTGTGGAGGAAGATCAGCTCGCTGATCATTTGGAGCCATCTGTTTACATTGCAAGTTCACTCTTTGGTTTTGCATCTCTGGGCCTCTATTTACATCACAGTGTCTTCATTTGCAACAAGGTTCTCTGATGAGCAATTTTGTATAGTACTTGATAGTTAACTCTTATCCAGTGGAGAGGATCCCATGAGTTGAGCAAATGCTAATGACTGTTGGTATTGTTGGTTTTTCCTTTGCTGAAATAACCTGATGTCCTTGAATTTTCAGGTTTGGGCCACCATTCCTGGTGAGGGAAGACAGAACCATTTCCTGGGTCCAGCTCCAGCAGTGCATTCTCAGTAAGGTCCAATATCTCATGAAGAATGAGGCCCCCATACAGGTTGGTGTGAGTGTGTGTGTGTGGTGGGAGTGGAGATGGGAGTAGGAAACTAGGATTAGCTCAGGAAAGACAAGAATTTGCTATTAATGAATGTTTACATTGTATAAAACAACTTTAATTTATGTGCAAGAAAATAACTAATTTAAGGCCTGTAATACTTCACTCTTTGTAGCATTACAAAATACCTTTCATGGACAGAGCTTTTTTTCTCATTAAATCTTACAAAACACCATTGGAATAAATAGTGAGGTTTACATTATTCTCAATTTCGTGTATTTGTGATTTACCATAGTTCTTCCTAGAGGATAGCTTATTGTAATAAATTGTAACTTCTATGTTTGGATCAAAAATTTCAAGTGACTTGAGATATAATTTCTCAAGTGGAAAATTAAAATTGATGTTTATGTTCAAATATGAAAACCTAGATATTAAAATAAAATAACGTTGCCCCATTTTTGCAAAACTGAGACGAAAACTCAAGGGAAAACACCTTTTTTGCCTTGCTCATTTATTTATTCTCAGATTGGTAGATTTCAAATAAATACAACATATTCTGAAACCATTCCTTTTAGTCCTTGCAGTATCAGTAACTATTCTGACGGCTGCCTGGCACAGAAGATGTTGGTGTTTTTAGGCATAGGTCAGTAGCGTTGGAATTTTGTTTTCCCCCAACTATTCTCTTAGTAAGAGCATTTCGTTTGGGAGATGTATGAAACTTATTTCAGAGGTAATTCTTCATATTTCACCTTCCTTCATACTCAAGGAAAACCATACATTTGAGTCAGGATTTACACCAACTATCACTTTTTTAAAGACCTTTCTTTCCTACATTCCTCCCAATCTTTATCTCTAAGAGATTTTGCTCTCTGTTCTGCCTAGTAGCTCTGCCACAGTGCCCAAATTGGAAATGCAAACTTCTCTCTAAGTAGGTCAGAATATCTAGGAATAGCTTTAGCCTTCCCCCAAAACCTGTGCTCCTGATTCTTGAAAGTGGAGGAAGCCACTTTCATGTGAACATTGAACTCAGCTATCCTTATTTTCTACCTGGTCACACGTGCACCTTTGCCTCTGTACCTCTGTAGTCATTGTGACTTTAGAAACCAATGAAGCAATTAATGGGGCCAGCAAAATTCTAATACAGGCAATCTCAATTTAGTGATGGATGCTTTTCCACAGTCATTGGTAAATGTGTGGTTGGGCATGATTTTTCTGTAGGAATAATGTATTCTAAATGGCTGTGAAGTTCCCAGGCTAACCTATCCATTTAACCATAACGCTTTTAGTACTATATTCAATGCTGGCTAAATACGGCAATAATTTGAAAAGAATACATTCAGAATTTACAACATTAAACTGAAGAGATTAAAAGTAGTGAACATATAGTAAAGGTTCTAAAATGAATTTCTCTAGCCAACAATAGAAGACAGGAAAGTGCCTCTTAAAAAATGACCAATTTGCTGGGCAAGCTTAATTTGCATGAATTGCAAAATAAGAGATTTATCATCGCCAAGACATTTTTATGGTCACTTCCTTCGTGTGCAGGCAGTGTAAGCTGCCTCCATGCAGTGTAGGGGTCTTGATTATGTTGATTATGTGGCTATCCAAACAATAAAGCTTAACTAGGGTCGCCAGGAAAGAGTTTTACCCCCAGATTTAACTAACTTCTTCGGAAGTACAGCAGGTCTTCGAATAACATTGTTTCATTCAATATTTTTTCATTATAATGTTGATGAAAGAAAAAAGATTTGATTTCAGGCCACTGTCTGTGTGGAGTCTGCACATTCTCCCCATGTCTGTGTGGGTTTTCTCCTACATCCCAAAGATGCGCACGTGAAGCGAATTGGTGTCTAAATTGTCCCGTTCTGGTGTGGGTGAGTGTGCCTTGTAGTGGTAGGGTGTCCTGCCCATGGTGGGTGCCCACCTTACGCCCTGAGCTGCTGGGAAGGGATCCAGTCACCCATGACCCAGAACTGGAATAAGCAGGTTGAGAAATCATTCTCTTGTTTTTATTCAACTTTCTTAAATGTATGTATGGCTCAGATTTATTTCAGCATTTAATATTAGAATTGTTTGGGGTCTTTATTTAGAAGTTTGGTGATGTCTGTGACCAGAAATATGCTGTACGACCTTAATTCTTGTTTTTTCAATCAGCTATGGTAAAACTGGTTTTGTTGTACATCGTTTCATTTAAAGTCGCAGTTTCCAAGAACCTACCGAGGATGTTAGGTGATGGTTTTCTGTACACCCTTCCATGGCCAGCCCTGAACCAAAGCCTTAGAAGTAGCTTGCTTCCAGCCATTGGTTTTGTCTTTGTTGAAGTCAGTGGTCAACTAGAGTGTGGTTACAGTCCAGTTAGGTGCACACACTGTCTGAACTTCACACATGAGGCCCTCTAAAAGCAGATGCTGGGTTACCTTACTGACCTTGTGTCCCGTTGCCCCCTGGACACATTAGCTGCCACAGCCAAAGGAGTTGACTCTCAGCTCTCTGAGCATGTTTTGGGTCATGCTGTCTTCCTATGTGCTGCTGTTCTTTCCTGGAATTCTGATGTGCTCCTCCTCTTCCCTTGTCTGAAGTCAACCTATATTTCATCAGTGTTCTTTAAGTAGAGATATCTGCCTTTTATCTTTGTCAGAGCTTGGAAGAAGATGTTATTTTTTTCCTAGTTGTAACCAAGGTCATCAGTGATAATTTTAAGAACTATATTTCCTCTATTCAAAGATGACATTATTTTTTTAAATTGTAAAATATATATAACATTTATTTTAACAATTCATAAGTATACATTAATTATAGTCAATGTTGCATAGCCATCACCACTATGCCCCCCAATTTTTTATCAAACCCACAGAAATTATACCCATTCAACAACTCCCTATCCTCTCACCCTGTAGCTTCTGGTAACCTTCATTCTACTTTCTGTCTATGAATTTGCATACTTTAGGTATATCTCATATAAGTAGGATCATACAATATTTGCCCTTCTTGTCTAGTTTATTTCGCTAAGCAAAATATTTTCAAGGTCCATCTATGTTGTAGGCATATGTCAGAATTTCCTTTCTTTTTAAGGCTGAATAACATTCCATTGTGTGTATTTTTCATATTTTGTTTATCTCTTCATTTGTTGATTTTTTTACTTGGATTGCTTCACCTTTTGACAATTGTAAATAATACTTGTTTAAGACTCACTTCAATTTTAGAAAAATTAGAATATAAAAAAACATATATCTTAGAATAAAAACAGTTGGTATTTCTTTATGTGGCTTATTTTAAAGTATTTACTTAGCATTTGGTATGTAAAGTCTACACTACCTCACTTTTAGATTATTGGCTCATTTTGGCAATTTGGCGGTGATAGTTTTCTTAAAGCAAGTTAAATTACCTATTAATAATTCATTAACATAATTGATTTATTTTTCCATTGACTGTGCCAGCATCTGCTCCAATTAAACACCAGTTATTTAAAACATGTTCTTCCTTTCAGAAAATTTAATGTGTTAAACAGTGTTAGATCACTATGTTAAAAGGTATAGTGTTTATCTTCTAAAAAAAATGAAGCCTTTATACCTCTAGGTTTTGTATACTAATTATTAAAGGAATATTCAAAATAGACTATTAACAGAAAAGACTACATTTTTCTAGTAATTTATTTGCTCTTGAGAGTCTGGCTTAAATCAACATGCATGATGACTTGCCTCCCCTGTTTTGTCTTAGCAGAACCCAGGGTCGCTGTTCTCCATCCGGGTTGTCGGGCAGTCTCTGGCCTACGGCTACTTACCACCACAGCACAGTCAACCCCTCTGTCACTGGGCGATTGACAGGTAAGGGGATGAACAGATAATGTTCCAGATTTGGCCACAGAATGAATGCATTTGCCTAGATTCCTTTGAGGCTATGTTTCAATAAAATTGATTACAATCTTCCCCACTCTTAGTCACTTACCTCTCCAGTACTAGCCACTGTGTTAAGTATTTATATACATTCTGTGCATACAGCCCTTATGTTTAGAGAGGTACTATGATGGCCACTTCAAAGATGAGGAGACACTGAGGTTCCTGGGGACTTTTTAACTTGTTCGCACTCAGAGAGCTAGTGACTGGCCAAAGAGCTGGAGGTTGAATCTATCACCAATGGCCAATGATTGAATCATTTATACCTGTGTAATGAAGCCTCTATAAAAACCCAAAAGAACATTGTTTGGGGAACTCCCAGGTTGATGAACACGTGATGGTGCCTGGAGGGAGCATGGAAGCTTTGCTCCCTTCCCATATGCCTTGCCCTATGCATCTCTTCTGTCTGTCTGTTCCTCAGTTATATTATTTTATGATAAACTAATAATCCAGTTAGTGAACTGTTCTTTCTTTGAGTTCTGTGAGCCACTCTAGCAAATTAATTGAATCCAAGGAGAGGATCCTTGGACCCTCCATTCTATAGCTGGTTGGTCAGAGCACAATTGACAACCTAGACTTACTGTTGGTGTCTGAAATGGGAGGGGTTGGTCTCATAGGCATGAGCCCTTAACCTGAGGGATCTGATGCTATCTCTAGGTAGATGTTGTCAGAACTGAGTTAATTGCCTGGTGGTGTGGAAAAAACACATCAGAATTGGTATTAGAATCTGAATTGGTGTCAGTATTGTCGTGGGGAAGGGCTCTTCCCTTTATAAAGAGACCAGGAACCAAGGTAGGAGGTAAGCCAGAGGTTCTGTGCCCTGTGCCCCATTTGCACTCTACTTGGCTGGCAGAGTTAGGGAGGCAAAAGAAATGCCAGCCATGGCCTGCTTGGGTCTGATAAAAAGAGGGAGCCCCGAGTGCGGTAGAGGGTGGGGGGGCTCTGAGAAGGGCACCCTCACAGCACTCTGTCATGGAGAAGATAACTGCTACTCAAAGTACGATCCACAGACTGGTACCAGCCTACTATTTGATTATCACCAGTCCATAATAAGACCTTGAGAGGAAGCAGAAGTATTAAAGCAATATGACAGAGCAACTTAAAATACGATGAATATAATAATTTTTTTAAAAAAATTGAACTTGTATTTTGCATATCTTCCCTTCCCCCCTACTTCATTACATTTTTACAATATTTTACAAAAGTATTAGTTTTCAGGAGTTTGGAAACAAACCAAGAAACGGGTCTGTCAGCATAGGTAGTTTGAAAAGCACTAGAAAAGAGTAATTGCACAGGAAGTTGACCATGCTAAAGGAAACCCTCCCTTGAGGCCACAGCCCTTCCGGTCAAAGCTTTCATACATCTAACATGCCTCTGCCTCTGGCCCAGCCCCACCCCCACCTCACTCAGATAGCTCTTCTCAGCATCTGAAGTCATCAGTCTCTTGCCTTCTTCACAGAGCCCTCCATTCTTGGCTTCCCTATTCTAGTATCTCCTTGTCCTAGAAATTTCTTTCTTTTTTAAAAAAATTGTGGCAAAAGACATAAAATTTACCATCTTAACTGTTTTAAGTGCACAGTTTAATAGTGTTAAGTTCATTCACATTGTTGTGCAGCCATCACCACCACCATCCCCAGAACTTTTTCATCTTCCCAAACTGAAATTCCGTATCCATTAAACATTAACTCCCCGTTCCACCTCCTTCAGCCCCTGGTAACCACCACTCTTCTTTCTGTCTCTATGAATTTGACTACTCTAGGTCCCTCATAGAAGTGGAATCCTATAGTATTTGTCTTTTGTGACTGCCTTATTCACTTAGGATAATGTCTTTCAGGTTCATCCATATCGTAGCATGTGCCAGAATTTTCTTCCTTTTTAAGGCTGAATATATTCCATTGTATGGATTTATCACATTTTATTTATCTTTTAGAAGTTTCTTTGTTTCTTTGAAGTGTTCCTCTTTCTCTCTGGGGCCCTCAAATATTGTCAGCTCTCAGCACCTCCCCCGTCTCCCACTCCTCCGGCTCATTTCATGCTCCTTCCATGTTCCATCCCTGGATGATCTTGCCTCAATTTTACCTACCACCTTTAGGTCCAGGTCTTTCATCTATATCTCCAGCCCATATTTTTCTCTGAGATATAGACCTGCCTGGCCTACTTAAATGTCTCATAGACATGAAAACTAAACATTTGCCAATCTGAAGTCTTCTTGCTTGAGCTTTCCTTCTTCCTGTCTTCTGTCTTCTGTGCCTAAATGGTGACCACCATCTGTCTACTCAGTAACCCAAGCTGGTAACCTTGGATTCATCCTTGATTCCTCCTTCTCGCTTTCTCCTTATGTTCAATCCATCATAAAGTCTTGTTCCAAGTGCTGATGTTTCCTCAAATCTGTTCTCTCCTTTCCATATTTATTACCAATGGCTGTTTTCAGGCTTTTATTATCTCTTAGCTGAGTGCCCTGGGAACCTCTGTTCTGGAATACATATCTCCAGACCAGTGTCTCTCTGATTCATCTGCTTCCATACCTGTCTGTTTAAAACCCTTCAGGTGGCCATGGGCAAAGTCCACATATCCTCCTTGGTCTGACTCCTTCCTCTCACCATATGGCCTGCCCCTCACCAAGCATCTGCTTGTCATTCCAGCACACACCCTACACTTTAATCCTGCTGAGTCCTCTGCCTATATGACCCTTTGATCTTTTCCCTTCACCATTTGCCTGGCCAACTCTTGCTCATCCTATGCAGGAAATCTTCTCTGGTCTCCAGAGCAGCTTGGGTGTACTTCTTCTGAGTCCCCATAAACACACTGGGTACATTACAGTGATCTCTCTGAGTGTCTCTCTCATAAGATTCTTAACTCCCTCAGGGTAGAGATTTATGTCCATATGTTGCTTTGAATTGCATCCTGCCATAAAATTGAATAATATCCTCTTTCCTATTTGAGTCAGGTCTGTGATCAAGAGAGAAGATGGTGCTGTCTCATGAATGATTGTTCCCATGTAAGGAACAAACTTTAAGCTACACTCATGCCTTTCCTCTTTTTGTGGCCTAAGGGATATTATATAACAGAGTTACAGCCTGATGATACCAATTCCCCTTTTCCACCCCCAATTTAAGACTCTAATTGAAAAGTAGACTGAGGATTGAGGCAGAAAGAGATCAAAATATTAGATTTATTAGATGATCTTTTACTGATTAAAGGATGCGGCTTGGATGTGGGTCCAATACAAGCTTTTGAGTAGATTTCCCAGACTTAAACACCCCTGCCCCCTAGCAAGGCAGAGCTCCCTAATTGCAGGCCTTCTGCATTGTGGAAATGGAAAATTGACGAGTCCTTTAGAAAGAGGCTTAGATCCAGGGCTGCAAATGTGTGTCTCCTCTGAATCGAATATATATCCCAATCTGCCAGTCTTCCATCTGTAGGGATGAGGCTGCTTCCAGGAAGCTTAAGATATGGGTGAGATACGATGCCAGCCTGCTAGCCATTAGGCCATAGAAAGGAGTAACTGAGAGGGGCTGAGCCAACCACCTCCCCCCGAGTCCCACCAACCAGATAAGGTGCTTCTCCTCTTTTGGGGGAATGAGGAGGTAAAGAGAGAGTCTGTCACAAGCCTGTAGCTTAATTCCCCCACTCTAAAGAAAGGTGAAGAAGGGTGATCATTGTTTGGAATCAACAGGGTTTCCTAAGCTAGGCGGGCTTCTCCTAGACACATCTTGTTCCGTGCGCCCTCCCGGCTCTTGTTCCTCAGGATGTTGCCATGACTCCACACCAGATAGATCCGTTAGTGCTTAGCCACAGGCTTTTGTACCTTCCATGAGCTCAAACCCTGGTTTTGAATCATCCTGGCAACAGTTTGGGACTTTTTTTTTTTTGCAATACATTTTAAGCACCCTTAGGTGTAGACTTTCCCATCACTTGTATGTATCTCGTTGATTTTGGGACAAAACCTCATGTCTTCCACTCTCGACATATCTCTTCTGCATTATCACTGACAAACTTTTTCTGAAATGGGCTTAGCCCTGGTAGTTAGGAAGAGCTATAGGTTGACTCATATTGAGAGTTTCTGGGTATTAAAAGGTCCAAAAGGGAGGACCTTTCAGGTCGTGGAGGTGGACTAGAGGGTGTGCCTTTCACATCGTGGTGGAGGAAAGTTAGTAGCTCATTTTAGGCATCATCAGAATTGATTTGTGCAGGGCATTCAAATGGAACTGCCCTCTATACATTGAGAAGGTGCTGGGGCTGCAGTGGGAGAGCTGACCTGTGTGCTTGCAGTAACCAAATCCTCAGCGCTCTTGAGGGAGTGACTGGAGAGTGTTCAGAGGTAGATTAGGATGAAGCTTTCTGCAAACAGCAGCTCCTCAGATACTTGACTTTGGTTTACATTTAGTTTTCGGCGTTTCTGTTTGGGACATCAGTCCTGGGGTTGGAGGCAGACTGTTGGATCCTGCAGAGATGTGGGAAGGAGGCTCCACACTTTCTGATGGGTACTTTGTTCTCACCTCAGGGCTTTGCACCTCAGGAGGCCAGGAGGCCCCCCACATGTCAAACTGGCTATTGAGTGGGACAGCTGTGTCAAGGAGAGGTGAGTTTAACAGAATCTGGCTCCGGCTGGGGAGAGACAGGCCTGCCTGTGCAAAGAAATCTTCCTGTGCTCAGTTTCCCACAATGTGACTATACCTCCTTGATGCCATGCCTCTGAGAATCCCTATGACAATCGTCTGTATATAAACAACAGTGATAGTACAGGCATACCTTGGAGATCCTGCAGGTTTGATTCTAGACAACCGCAACAAAGGGAGTATCGCAATAACGTGAGCTGTAATCTTTTTGCTGGTGAAGGGTCATGCCTTCAGTTAGGGAAAAAAAACCCATAACATCTCTGAACCAATAAAGTGAAGCACAATAAATAAGATACGTCTGTAACAGTAATAATGATGGTGATGGGTAGTGTTAGCTGTAAACTATGTGTTGCTTACACACTTACCCTGTGCCAGTCACTGCTCTGAGCACTTTATGTATTTGCAATCTATTTAATCATTATCGCATTCTATGGAGTAGGTACTACTATAATCCATCTTTTCATATGTGGAAACTGAGGCACGGAGAGGTTAAATAATTGCTCAGTGTCACGCAGCTCATGCATGACAGATTCAGGATTTGTACTCAGGCTTTCTGGCTCGAGCTCAGGCTAACCTTGGCTGCTTCTGTAATACCAACTACATCAGCCCTACTTTGAAAAAGGACAGTTTTCACTCTAGCAAGTACCCTGCACTAGGATAAAGAGACAAAGACAAATAAGCCAAGGACTTTGTTCCTCATGCAGCTCATGGGAGAGACTGAGAATTCCAGTAAAATTGAGTGAATGCTGAGTTAGAGTATGCACAAGGTGCCAAGTAGGACTCCTCCGTCTCACCTGCCAGATGACTTGTACCCTGTTCGCTGTAAGTAGAGGCTTAGGAGCAACCCCTCTTGGAGGTGAGAAGCCCTGAGCGCCATTGGTTTCCTCTCTGCAGTCTGTTTGGGAGCCTCCAGGAGGAGCGGGTCCAGGATGCGGACAGTGTGTGGCAGCAGCAGCAGGCACACCAGCAGCACAGCTGTACCTTGGACGAATGTTTTCAGTTCTACACAAAGGAGGAGCAGGTCCCGCCCTGGGGGTCCACTCCCTGGCCAGGAAGGGGGCTGGTTGCCTTTTGGTGGGTTGGCCAAGTGCCATGGAGGCCTCACAGTCCTGGTGGCTTCCTTTCTAGCTGGCCCAGGATGATGCGTGGAAGTGCCCCCACTGCAAAGTCCTCCAGCAGGGCATGGTGAAGCTGAGTCTGTGGACCCTGCCTGACATCCTCATCATCCACCTCAAAAGGTTCTGTCAAGTGGGCGAGAGAAGAAATAAGCTCTCCACGCTGGTGAAGTTTCCACTCTGTGGCCTCAACATGGCTCCCCATGTAGCCCAGAGGAGTGCTGGTCCCAAGCCTGAGCCAGGCTCCTGGACTTCCTGGAAGCAGCCAGCCTGCCTGCCAACCAGCTACCCACTAGACTTCCAGTATGACTTGTATGCTGTATGCAATCACCACGGCAGTCTGCAAGGTGGGCATTACACAGGTGAGCTTTGCCTCTTGGCCTGTGGCTAACTTGGCCATGTGTTGTGGCTGTGGCCTGGGCCTCAGGATGCCCTGGCACTCCTGGAATGCTGAGCTTACTCTGGCACGTGGCATGAGCTGACTCCTCACCTGCTGCACACCAGGCACCTGCCAGAGGTGGGATAGGGGAACCTGGTCTAAGCCATAGAGTTGAGCTAGGTTGTTGGTTGGAATATAAAATTAGTTATAGCCTAAATTTTCAACTATATCAAATATATCCTCATCTGTGATTTAACATAAGAACTCATATCACATTTGGACTCCTACCTATCACGTTTTAAATTTCTATGTGGTACATTTAATTGTCATCCCTCAGAGGAACTTGAGAGAAATAGATGAATAAGAGGACAGAAACATAGCTGAGTGACTTGTTCAGTTGTTCATGATCATATATCTTGGCCTATTCTATTCTAGAATAACAAATTATTTCATTTAAAAAGTGCTTTACTTCATTTTCCAAAAAGTGCTTTGTTTCTAGTGTACTTAATGTACCTACAATTTGGAAGACGCTGGACCGTGTAGAAATCCATGATCGTCACTCATTCATTCATTGAACAAATATTTATTAAGCATGCATTCTGTGCCAGCCTCTGTGCTGGGTGCTAGAGCTTCAGTGATGAACATGGCAGATATGAGTCCTGCCCTCATAGGACTTCAGTCTAATTTCAGATACACACAATAAAAAGGTGCTTATCACTTTATCACTTTCACTATCTGGCATTATGAAAAAGCAGTTGATTAATTGTGTCTGTGATAGAGATCAGGCTTCTCTGAGGATATTACCTTTAGGTCAAGAGCTAAAAGATGAGGTGGAACTGGCTATGTGAATAAAGGAGAGAAAAGCATTATGGGCAGTGCTACTAGCATGTGCAAAGGCCCTGAGGCAGACTTATGGTATGTTTGAGAACTGATGAAAACCTGTTATGCTGGAAATATAGTGATTCAGGGGTAAGTAACACAAAATTGGGCTGAATCAGAAGGCACCATAAGCCACAGGCAAAAGTTAATATTTTTTTCTGAAGGGTGATGGGAAGCATTACAAGGTTTTGGGCATAAGAGCAAAGGCATATATAGTTTACAAACTGAAGTAGTAGCTTTGCTCAATGGAAAATGGGTAGAAAGGAACAAGAGCAGAAGTAGTAATTCCAGTTAGGAGGATGTTTCCGGGGCTCAAGTGAGAGATGGTATTGCCCGGGGTTCAGCTAATGACAATCAGGGTATTCAGGACAGGCTTTTGGATGGTGTAGGGTGGAAAGGAAAGAGGAGAGAAAAGATGAACTCCTAGGTGCCTGGCTTGCACTAGCGCAGGGGTCAGCAAACTATGGCACGTGGGCCAAATCTGGTCCAGTACCTGTTTTTGTACAGCCCATGAGTTAAAAATGGTTTTTGCATTTTAAGAAGTGGTAAAAAAGAAGGACGAGAATATGTGGCAGAGACCATATGTGCCATATGTGACCTGCAAAACCTAAAATATTTTTTCTGTGTGGTCCATTGCAGAGAAAGTTGGCTGACTCCAGATTAGTGGGTTATTGTACCATTCACTGAAATGTGGAGGGAAAGGATAATATTTTGTTTTAATTGTTTGGAAGGTGGTGAGAATCTTATTTATGAGCATTTTCTTAAATACATGACTTCAATACTTAGGTAGGAAAGGAGTAAACCATAATCCAACTGCATATTTTTATTGCATACTGAATTAGAGCTGTGCATTGTGAAGCTTCTGAGAAGAAATGGGGTAAACGTGGACATTACTATCTGGCTAAATAACTTGGGGCTCCCTTTTATTGGAGATTTTGCCCGAGCAAAGACTACAACATAAGGATTCAGCTTAAAGTGGCAGCACACTTTATCAGTAAGCATCCGAGAGTGCAACTGATTGATCCTTTCTGATTCCACAAAATTCATTTCTGGTCAAAGATGGACCAATTTTTCTCATTCTGTTATAAGTATGTCCATTTATGAGCTATGCCAGTGAGGTATGTCTTCATGCTTTTTGAGAGCTCCAATAATGGGGTTTGGACCTTTGCAGCCTACTGCCGGAACTCTCTGGATGGCCAGTGGTACAGTTACGACGACAGCACAGTGGAATCGCTTCTTGAAGATGAGGTCATTACCCGAGGGGCTTACATTCTATTTTATCAGAAACGGAACAGCATCCCTTCATGGTCAGCCAGCAGCTCCATGAGAGGTAGGTGCTGCTGCTCATTACAGGATGAAGAGGAACTGGGATGTCACTGTAAGAACTGGGAAGATGCTTAGTCAAACATCAAGTACCAGGAGAGGAAGCCATGGCTGCAGCTGTAGAGATTTGAACACTAGAGGCTGGAATCCCATTTTTGAGGCTGTGGAATGGTCATACTGAAATCCAAGAAAAGGGATCCATAGCCCTGACTCTTGGTGGTGTGAGATTCCATATTCCTGGTCTCACTCATGTCAAGCCAGATTTTAATTAAGCTTGTACAGTATAAACCTGCATTAGTCCTGTTAGAAAGAGAGAGGCAGTTATAAAGCTTGCAGAGCCTTCATAGGAAAGGTAGCTGTTTACTCACTCCCCAGCGATGTTTATTAGATAACCTCAAACTTGCTTGGAATTCTAGAGGAAAATAAGGATCAAAGTTGACCTTTTTATGTGACTTATTTCACTCTGCCAACTAGCCGTCCTTATCTTTGGGATGAAAGAGCATCATCTTTCTTTAATTACTCAGATTTTCTCTTCAAGAATTCTTGGAAAGTGCCCAAATGAAGCCAAGATGCACCAGGAGGTCTAAATCAACCCTAATGCAAAGTCCGCCTTTCTCTTACAGAAGATAGATGTAAAAAGAATGAAAAACGTACCATATTTAGAAAACTGGAGTTGGTGACAAGTAATTTCATGAAAAGCATTTCAGTACTCATCAATGTACCCTCCTTTCTGTGCCCAAATGCCTTTCCCTGAAACTTTCAGCTTAGTTGCATAGTTAATCAATTGCGGGGTTCTCCTCTGATCTTTAACTTCCATGTATATATATAATTCTGTTCTGGTTCTGTAATTCCAGGGCTCGGGGATGCCAGTCTGGCCATGTGATGCTCCTCTGGGGACCCTGAAGGGAGGGAGTTGGGTCCAGCCTTCTCTCTCTGTGCTTCTTCCACAGGTTCCACCAGCTCCTCTTTATCTGATCACTGGCTCATGAGGCTCGGGAGCAATAATAGCAGCATGAGGGGAAGCCTGTTGTCCTGGAGCTCTGCCCCTGGCCCCCCACAGCCTCAGGTGCCGGCCCCTCCCATTTTCACAAACAGCCTCTCCAGTCAGGAAAAGGGTATGCTTTTTCATGACGGTTTAATTTGCTGATTTTATTTTTGTTTTCTATAACAACCATTGCTCCTCATCTTTATGATAGTGCTGGCATTTCATGGCCTTGAGTGTAATGTATCCATCATTATGAGGGGTTTATTCATCTCTCAAATCAGGTCTTCCATGTTCTAGCCCTTTCCTACTGGTCCTCCCCTATTCACTCCAGTTTCTCTGCTCCCTGGAACTTATTGTCTAACGGGGAAGACCAAATGTAAACAAGTAAATAAATATAATGACATGATGCAAAGCAGGAATAAGGGTAAAGAGGTAAATCATCATAGAAGAAGATATCTAGGCCAAGGGTGGGGGAGAAAGGATGCAGAGGGCGCCGTTAGATAGGGCGGGTGGGAAGGCCTTTTTGAGGAGGAGGTAGGTGACTTTGGGGCAGAGACCCAAGTGAGTGAGAATGAGTTACGCAGAAGTCTGGGAGTGAGTGTGGGTGTGTGGGAGGGTGGGAAGAGGCCAGAGCTGTGGCTGGAGCAGAGAGAATGAGGAGGGGAGTGACAGAGGTAAACAGGGGGTGGAGCATGATGTACGTTTGGCCCATGGACAAAGTTTGCATTTTACCCCAAGTGCAGTGGGTAGCTATTGTGGAATTTTGAGCGGGAAGTAATTGATCTGATTTATATATTTAAAAGTCTGTTCTGGCTGCTGTGTGGGGAATACATCACAGAGGGACAAGAGTGGAAGAAAGAAGGCCAGTTGGGAGGCTTGTGTGATTGTCCAGGTGAGAGCATGATGGCTTGGACTAGCGTGTTAGATTAAGAGACGGCCCAATTCTGGATGTACTTGAAGATGGAGCTAACAGAATTTACTGGTGTGGGGTGTGAGGGCAAGAGTGATCAAGGAGGCCTGTTTGCCTAGCATCTAAAGGACTAGGTGGTTAGGTTAGTATTGTAGTTTATGAGATGGGGAAGAATTGGATAGGAAACAGGGTCAGTTTTGGAGAGAAATCAAGAAATTTGTAACACGATAATTTTGAGACTCCTGTAAGACATCCAAATCAAGATGATAACTAAGGAGTGGAGATAAATATTTTGAGAATCATCAGCACACAGGATGGAATTTAAAGTTACTGGGCTGGCTGAGCTCTCCTAGGAAAACTGTAAAGATAGAAAAGAATAAAGACAAACCCTGGGACTCTCTAATATCTAGAGGCAGAGCAGAGGCAGAGAGGTCAGCAAAGAAATAGAAGGAATGGCTAGTGAAATAGGAAGAAACCTGGGTGGACGTGGGTCACAGATGCAGAAAAGGAAAATCTTTCTAGAAGGAAGTGGCCAACTATGTCCCATACTGTTGAGAGGCTAAGATGATGATAGGTAAGTGATTGTCAGGCTGGAAGGCCATCAGTGACTTGCTAGGAACCTCTGTCATGGGTTGGAGAGAATGGAAGTAGCTGTAATATGTGTAGAAGACACTGGTGCTGAAGAAGTGACAGGGGGTACCTGCTGTTAAGGACTGTGATTAAAGGGGCAGTGGCTCAGAGGAATGTGGGCTGACAGCAGTTTTTGTTTGTTTTTCTTTGCCAAATAGGACATAACAGAGTGTGTTAGCATTTGGATGACCCAGTCTGAAGGAGAAAGTGATGATAGTGCAGGAAAGCAAGGTGATAACCACAGAAACAAAGTTCTTCAGTAAGAACTCTGTGTGTGTGTGTGTGTGTGTGTGTGTCTTTAGCTCCTGTCCTTCAGTCAGAAAGTGGCAACATATTCTAATTATTTTTAGTTTCCATGTTTCTCATCAGTGCCTGATTTAGTTTTTCTAAATTAAAAAAAATTAATTGAAGTATAATATATGGACATATAAGATTAGTTTTGCCTGTTTTGGAACTTTGTATAAACGGAGTCATACAGTATGCATTCTTTTCAGTTTGCCTTCTTTTGATCCATATTTGTGAGATTTATATATCATGTGTAGCAATGTTTCTTTCATTTTATTCCATTTGTCCAAAGAAAACCAAAAGAACTCAGAGACATACACTGTCTGCATAGAAGTTTAATTGTACGGGGTGGGGGTGGCGGGGAGAAAGGGAGGGAGGGAGGGAAGGAGAGAGAATGAGTATATTATCTGTGGACTGTTGACTGTTGACTGTTGCCAATCAGGGATTTGGAAAAGAAAGTGTGTCGGGTGGGGCAGGCTAGCCTAATCTGACCTGGAGAGTTTGCCTTCACCATCAGAGGAAGCACCTTGAGTCACTGTAGATTTAAGGATTCTTGAGTTATTTGTGGATTCTCCAAAAATCCATGCGAGTTTTGCTGTGGGTTGTCTCTGAAATGTCTGCTGGTGTCCTTCTGTGGCATCCCCACCTGGGTGGCTATACCACTTCCCTCATCAAAATCTCCCACATTATAAGAGTAGATTACATTTTGTTTATTTTATTGTGGTTAGATATTGGGGTTGTTTCCAGTTCACGCTATTACCAGTAGTACTGCTGTGAACGTCTTTATGTCTTTTTGTTGTACATATGTCTCTGTTTCTGTTGGGTATATAATCCCAGGATATATACCTGGGGAGTAGAATTGCTAGGCACAGTGTATGTATCTTGCATCAGCTGCTTATTTCTTTATACTTTAAGTTACCATCATGTCAAAGTAGTCAACACATAACCTGGTGTGTACCGGGCTCTTGCTCCGTATTTGTCAGTGAATAAATATATGATGATAGATTTGTAAAGCTGCAAGTGGTTTTAGATGATCATTGAATCCAACCTTCTGGGTTATAATGGTTTATATATCACAATTTGGTTAATTATTCCCAATGTTTGTCATTTTGGCTGCCAGTATTTCACTGTTAGACAAATGGTGATCAGAGTACCACTACGTGCATATTGCGTATGTCTGATTTCCTTAGAATGCGTTTCTGTGTAGGCATGCTACTTAATGCATTCTGTTCTGACTCACCCTGCACGGGCATTTCTTTTCCCCTCACATTTTCATGACTGTACTTTTCTGTCTCTAGAACAAATATGGCATTCTTTCCTAAGATTCTCCATCTCCATCAGCAGGAGCCTCTGAGGAGCTCATAAATTCATCCCAGTTCTGTCCAGCGTACCTCAGACCATTTCTCAGTTCTCTCAAGGAGAAATATGTTTGACCTCCCCGTAAAGAGACAACTTCAAAGCATAGCCAAACTTTTCAAAATGGTGCTCAGACAGAGGGGAGGCACAGCTTCAGAAAACTCCCTAGAGAGACAGACAGGGCTAGTGTGGGAAGAGAAATAATATTGAAGAATAACTGTCCTCCAAACCCTGGCCGGCATTTTATTTATCCTATCTAATGGTCAGAATCTCTGGGAGAGGTGAAATCAACAACCCTCTTACAAAGGAGAAAGCTCAGCCTTGGAAGTAGTGGGTCACAAGTTCAGCCCCTGGCAAGTAGCAGGGCCGCAGACAGACCACGTGCCCTCCGGCTGCCAGGCTCTTGACTCTGTGGCTCTTAGATGTAAATTCCAAATTTGAGTTTATTCTGTTCAGACACTGCAAGAAACTTGTTTCCAACGGGAGCTTTCTCTATAGGGATTTGAATAAAAGGGCTATGGATTTTGAAACCCATTTGAGAAGCTCCAAAATAGTTGAAAATCCAGCCTTGCTATCTTGTCAGTACTGAACCTGGGCAAGATCAAAATCTAGTGCTTAGGTTTTCAGCAGTCATTGGTACGACTTCCTCTCTCTGTGGGTGGGTTTGTAGGAGAATTTTTTTACTACCAGGAGTTGAGGGGACTACTGGCAATTAGTCCCCTGGGGGCAGGGATGCTAAATGTCCTGCAATGCCCAGGGATGGTGCCGTTCAGTATAGAACTGACCCTCCCAAATGCCACAGTCTTCTGTAGAGACACTGATAGCTTGAGAACTTCATCTTTTGAGGAGCTCTGGTTATGGGACATTGTAATAATGAGGGAATTTTAAACTAAAGAACGGATACAACTTTTGTGGGGACTGCACCTTATATTATTGAGGATATGTGTCAGGAGAGGCTATACAAGAAAAGATACAAAAACACCTTACTTTTACGTTTATGAAAACATGACATTGTGGAAAATTGCTGGGGTCTTTCTCAGAAGCCCCCTGGGAGTAAGGGCCCTGGGACTTAAGCTTCCTCAAGTTTTCAGTAGTGTAGGTGCCCTGATGATAAATTGCTTCTATGGTTTTTATTAGGCCTCGAAGTTTTCGTTTTCTCTCTTCCAATGCTTTCCAGAAAGCATGTTATTTCAGTTCTGACTTTTCCTTTGATCTAAAGGTTATCTGGGAGTTTCAAGTATTTAAGAATTTTTGGCCACCTTTTTAGTCTTTAATTTTGTGGATTGTGATCCAAGGATGTGGTTTTCAAACATTCCCTTTTTGTGATCAAGTACATGAGCATTATTTTGTAAAAAGTTCTATGTATGTATAAAATGATATATATATATATGTGTATACATATATATAGTCTATTTGAAGGATGTGAGCTTTACGTCATTACTATTAAATTAGGTGAATTGATTGTTGTATTCAATTCCCCTATGTCTTTAAATTGACCTTATCTAGGACTGCCTGGCTAGGAAAAAAGTATAGTGACACCATCCTGTATAGCTGTATTTTTAATCAAGTACTCTAGGAACTTTAATAATTTTTGTTTTATATTGTTAGCTGCCTTGTTAATAGGTATCTGTAAACTGATGACTATTTGATCTTTTTTTATAAATTGTGTCTTTTCTCATTATGATGTTGTTTCTGCTTAATGCTTTTAATCTTAAATTCCACTTTGTTCAAGATTAATAATTTCACCCCTTCCTTCTTCTTTTTGTTTGCATTTTCCTGGTATCATTTTTCCCTTCTCTTTTGCTTTTTGACTCTTCTAGAATTAGTTTTAAGTAGTTTCCAGTAAACAGTATATTGTTTCCTTTTTAAATGTCAAAAATTCAGAGCCTGTCTTATAATGGTAAGGTTCAGTCTATTCATATTTAATGTAACAACTACAAGATTTGATT